TGTGTTAACTAGCTTAAATTCAGCCTTAAATTAAAAATTTCCACAGCAGATACTCAGATATTTGTTTATACAGCCATGATTTCAAGAGGGCTGCTGGGTGCCTATCTGGTGAGGTTTCCTGGGGGTCAAACAGTTTTTTGAAACAGGCCAGTAAACCAAGATAAAATTTTATTTAAAACAAATGGGTCATTAGGGAGATTTTGAGAACATTGCATCTCTAAATAACTTTGGAGAAAAGATTTACTTTTTATAGGAACGTCCAACATCAGTGGTCTGCAACCTGTGGCTCAGAAGCCGCAGGTTGCACACACAAGATTGATGCTTTTCTCGCTGGAATTAAGTGCTAACACTTGTGTGCATGCACATGTGTGCATATGTGTGAGCTTGACTTTGACTTGTAGCAGACCTCCCAGGCAGCAGCATACCAGCATTGGGTATTCTAATGAGTCTTTCAGAAGCATAATATCTTTGTTGTGCTGCCTAAAACATTACTCCACATTTGAAATGTACCCAGCGGTCTATTATGCATTTTCTATCATTGGATGCAGCTGTCCATGCTTTGTGAACACTTGCTGCAACCAAGCTTCCCGACTATCCTGCCTGAGGCCAATAACTGATAGAAACATGTGAAAAAAGGAAGTAAATATTTACTGTGACAGTGGGGCAGCAGAATTACTCTTTAAAGAGAATATACCCATTATTGGCAAGCAGCAGCTGAAACTTTTTTTAGAATTTGCTTTAGAGCAACTGATTCTTTCCTTGAAGAGACCAAAAGAGGAAAAGTTTCTGAACAAAGATTAAAAAGAAAGTTATAAAGAGAGCAAAAGAGAAACAAAAGGAAAAGAAAGCAAAATAAAAGAACAATCTATATGCATATACTGTAGTCTACAACACAAGTAGCACTTTATTCCATTGAGAGAAGCATCAATCTTGACAGCATATGGCGTCTGTGCAAAATCCATTAATTTTTAATATACCGGGTGCTGAAATGAAAAGGCTTCCTGAGACAAGCAATTGTCAGATGTCAGTAGTGTTTTGATAACTTTTTTGATCTCCCTTTTTATTTGCATTCATAAAATGGGGCTGTCCACATGACACCTCAGTTTGGACATGGCTGAAGACTGACATGGAACCATTTTCCACACAATTGCCTCCACCTTCAGTCTGGAGAATAGAAAGCGGGGGTGGAAAAAGGCAGAAGGAGATGTATAGATGACAGTGCCTGTGGATGTGTATTGGCTGCTGCCTGAAAATAAAAATCTACAGTTTTATCATCAACATTCTCTAGGCATTGTGGCACACTTTATCATTTTTATGGACAACATAAAAGTATTTGTTGACAGGAAACCTGATGTATGTGTATAATATCAATGTCATATTACTTTGAAAATATATATAATAGAATACACCCATCTGAACATTGATTCTTTAATGGAGTTTGAGTTTAAAAGACTCGAGCCAAGCTTTAACCATGTGCTCAGACATTATTGTTTTAAAGAAGTGTTATTGTTTGAAGAGCAGATTACAAAGGTCTCTTCAGCATAGAGGACAAAAGTGCTATAAAACTCAAATGTTCTCTCGCTCTGCGTTTAAGCTCTGTTTGAGGGATAAAATGAGCCCTCCTCAATGCGAGCTAAGCACAAAGAGGTCAAACGGTCGACTCAATGAATTTCGTCTTGCTTCTGTATCCATAGGAAGGTCCTCACCCCTCTTAATGCAAATACATGACTCTACTTCAGAAAAGAGCCCTTTATTTTCCCGCTTTTGATAGAATACTCATTGGTCCTGTTTGAAGTCATCACATCTTTTTTTTTTTTTTTTTTGCTGGGGGTGTACGACAGAATATTTATTCGTATTCGTAAAATGGCAAATTAAAGCTTATGAATGGCCACTGGAGACAAGAGGGAACATGGAAAATACTATATGAGCTTCTTAGGAGGCAGGTGCAAAGTGGACTAATTAATAGCAATCTATATACTGGCCGGGGCATGCAGAGGGCCAACTGAGACTCTCTCAGGTCCGGCAATGAAAAGATACCAGCTCCAAATTCATTTTCTCACTGCAGCTCTCCCAAAGGAAGGCGGCAAAGTACACTCACACTTCCTTTAATGCATTCACTGGGGTGTGATTTATTTCTGCGTTTGCCAGCGCATTTGGAAAGTTCATTACCTTGCTCATGGCTTGTTAATTAGCCTTGTAAAGCTGCCATTAGATCCTCTCAGGCCAGGACTCAGATGAGACTTTTGTCCCAAAACATTAACATTGTGCAGAAGGCGTGTAAAGGTGCACTATGCCCATTTAGGTTGTAATGTGTACATCTTGGTAAAAACATGAACAGTGGAGAGCAGAACTCTAGCAAATGCATACACCTTTAAAACCATGGATGTTGTTCAGGGTCTTTTTTATTCCTTTCCCACATGTTTACTTTTTTATCAGAGAAGCTTTCCACCAATGCATACCAATGCAGCTAGATATTAATTTTCTTGACAGTCTTTGTTGAATTCTGCTCAAAATGGCAGTCTGTCGAGATCTCCTCAGGGTTTCTTAAACACTGAGGTTCCAAAAGGAGAGCAGCAGTGTTAGCTTCTGCTTGTGGGCTGGTGAAATCATTTTGCGAGAGGCAGAATTACAGAAAAATTTACTGACACTTTTGGAACAATCAGTCTATGGAGAAGTTAATTTGTGCTGCCAATATGAGTTTTTATTAGAATATTATAGAAAAGGAAAATGAGACAATTTCACTACAGAAAAAACAGGAAACCCTGGTTCTTTATTTTTAGAACAGCTGCATCTAATGGGGCCTGGCAGGTACAGGAGGTGTCACATCTGTTGAGGCCCAAGTGATGCTCCAGCCCTCTGCTCCTCCCCACTCCTTGCCCGCTTCCCACCAGTCAAATGACTCACGATCAAGATCAACAGTGTCATTTCTAATAAACTCTTCTTCCTCTTCCTGCCACTTTCACTCAGCCCTGTTCATAGTTTCTTGCTAGTAGCCATTTCGTTTCACAACACAGTGAAATAGGAGATGCATAATGTAAAAGATGTGAAGAAGATGAATGCTCTGTCTAATGCCAAGGCACCGGTAGGATTAATTGGAACATTGCAGCTACCTGACTGGTTGGAAATTTTGTGTTATACAGTCCATAGGTCTAGGGAAGAGTTCAACGCTCTAAAACTGGGGAAGGATTTGCTTTTCAAAGAGATACTCATTTTAATCTCTCTAAGCATTTGTTGAAAATACAAACAATGAAGTAAATTTCACTCTTTATTCCAGACTGTATTTTTAAATTTTATTATATACATTTTAAATTTGATGCAGCAGTGAAAAACAATTTGTTTGATAGAGATGTGACAATGTTGACTATTTTACCAGAAACTGCAAAGCATTTTAATGTCGAAGTGTGTTTTTCATATTTGTACTTTAATGTAATATTTTACAGTATGTGCAAAAAGATAAACGTAAACTGTATTTTTCTAAAAAAAAAGAGCATATCTCAAGTTAATATGCCCATTGATTAATTCACCTATGACTACCAAAAACATAATATTATCTAAGTGCAAATTGGCTAATTTTATCTGAGTGAGAGATCCATGAGGCATTCCCAGGGCTGCATCTTAGTTTTTATCTTTGTGCAAGTTTTTTTGTTTTGACTGTATTTGTCCTTTATATGATTTAATCCAAACCATTTCACTGTACCTCTAGCTGTATGTTTCATGTCATTGTCCTCCTGCAAATTAACTTTTTCTTTTGTGTTTTGCTGCTTCTAAAGTTTTCTTTCAATATTGTCTTTTACTTAGCTTAGTCTATGACTAGCTTCACTGTGGGAATCATGTTTTTTATTTGATGAGCAGTGTTAAGTTTCTTCCACAGATGATTTATTGAATGTAGGTTAGAAAGTTCAGTTTTAGGTGTATATGACCAAAACTTTGTTCATGTTTGCTGATTCCTGAATATTGCTTGTGGCCAAGGACCTAATTATTATTATTTTTTTTTCCCAGCACAGGGTTTCATATTGCCTCCTTTCATAAAGGCCAAATGTGTGCTCTGCTGGTAATGCTCTTTTTTCCCAGTGTGTCAGTTTAGGTTGGAGGCCATGTTTTGTTCTTGTTCAGAGCTGCGTAAAACTTCCCCATAGCCTAGTCCGTGAACTGTCTGGTGCATTTCTTTCACTTTACAGTGCTGATCGTTCATTGATGTTCTCTAACAAACATTTGAGGCCTTCACAGAGCATCTAAATTCACAATGTAAACAAAATACACAAAAATCCTTACTATATAAATTGATAGTGCTGGATTTTACTCAGAAGTTCACCAGTAAAAGGGTTTTATTATATGTTCAAAGCACAATTTAAACATTTTATTTGGAAATTACTTTGAAACAATTTTTTCGTTCAACTTTCATAACTAATGCACGACTTTGTTAATTTTTCAACAAACTATGAAAAAGTGCAAGCAGAATAAATACTTTTGCAAGGTATCCTACTCATGTATGGAAGCCATACAGATGTCTGTTAGCTTTTATTTTACATAAGAACCTCCGAAACACGGCAGACTTTAAAAACTCCATTGTTCACCTTGTACATGAAGTTTGCTGTTGTTTATTATAATGCTTACTATTTGGGTGATAAAAATGTACATGTTGTTGTTGGATGTTTCCTCACCGACAATCAAAGAGCTTGCCTGCTCCTGCAAAATATTACCCTTCTTACTTTTAGAAGGAATCTGCAGCTCTCCCAACTTTGTCTGTATCAGACATCAATACAGAAGACTTGAATAGATTAGTAGATGCAGGAATAAATCATAGATTGGGGGGGTTGGGCAGGGAAGTGAAATGCTCGACAACAGTGAGATCAACAACAGCAGCAGCAGCAGCAGCAGCAACAACACAGCAGACTGCTGATAAAAAAAGCCTCTGCAGAATGGTGCCATCAGCTCTTGCATTTCTTTCTTCTCTTCTTTTCTATCCTCCTTCCCTTTCTCCTTCTCTTCTCCCAATCCAGAAGACAGGAAGCTGTTTGTAGGAATGCTCGGCAAGCAACAGAGTGAGGACGATGTCCGGCGGCTGTTTGAGACCTTCGGCCAGATTGAGGAGTGCACCGTCCTTCGAGGGCCTGATGGGGCCAGTAAGGGTCAGAGCCCACACGCCTCCTGCTCTTTCTCTCCCCTGCTTATCTTTCTTAATCCCTATCTATTTATCTTTTTTTCTGTTCTTTGCATTTTCAGAGATATTGTCTTCCTGTGCTGAATTCATCATCATTGTCTGCAATGCTCTCTGAATAACTCATGCTCCCCTTCAGCTACTCAGTTTTTTTTCATATTCTGCCTTTTATGCGTCGCACTTGCATTTCTATCATATCTCATTGTCACCACACTCTGACACCTTCTTTCCCCCACTTTCTTTTGTGTGTATTGTTTTCTCCATTTCATTTTCTCACCCCATCCCCTGCTCCTTTCTCCCTCTTTTGGTATTTCATTCGTCATCTTTTCCGTTTGTTGTCTCTTGATCACAGTCGCTCGTCTCATCCTGGGCTTACACTCGCGTAGCAGCTTGTTTCTCTGCACCACCTCTCTTCCTGCTCTTCGTGTTATCTGAAAAGTGGAGAGGTGTAATCATGTTTGTTTCCCACACTCCCATCATCCCTCCCCAGAGATTGTTATTGGACAATATTGTCCTACTGTAAATAAAGCACCGTTTCTGAGCTCTGCTGCTGTCACTCACTTCTTGACAGATTCAAGCTCATGTCTGTGGCCTACATTGTATTTAGGTAGGAGAGAATAGTCGAATTAAAGATAATTTTAAAATATGGGAATGATTTTGCTCTTCTTGTCATGGCCCTCTGTTCCCAATTCTGACAAAATCTGAACTAATCATTCCCATCTGCTGTTCTAGTGTTATTGCGAATTCACCTTTAAAAAGATGTGTGGGAAGGTTCCTAACTGGTGAGACATTGACCGCTCTGGTGTCAAATGTACAAATATACCAAATAAAAAAAGTATTTTTCAAATTTTACCTTAATCAAAACATTTAGTTGCTTTAAAAGCTTTCAATTATTATTTAATCAATTCAATATTGCTCAGCAATATGATTGCAAAAGAAGAATATTTTATATCAGGCCAAATTTCATTTTTCAAGAATGTAATTTTTTTTGGCTGAGCTCCAGTTTTTTTACTATAATTCAAAATCATGTCTGATCTTATCTTTATTTCTATATGGCCCATCCTTCTCTGTCTCTTTGTTGTAAAAATCATCCTTGTTCACCTTCATTTGTAAAAGTCTGGCTGTGTTGCTAATCGCCAAGGAGGAGTTGTGTATGTTTTCATTTCTTTCACGTGTAGAAGAAGAGCAGCATGGTATTTTCTGCCTCACCCTGTGCATTACTTCTGTTTGTTTTTTTTTACCGATTAGTGAAACTGAATATATCACACACATCCTTTGAATATATCAGACAGACTGGAACGTCAGGACATGTTGTTCATGTGTAATGAAATATGTGTATTGGCAACAAAAAGCAGACAACAACGGGCGTGCCCCAAGTGCCTGCATCTGTCAGTGTGTGTGAGGCACAGCTCAGTACTGCCTCACCTGAAATTATGCAGAAAACAAATTTACAGAATAGTCAAGTGAACAAATTAATTTCCTGTACTATATTATAGCATTTTACTTGTCATAACAGATGAGGCGTTGACAGTACACAACTGAGCAGGAACTAGCTCTGACTTCATTTCAACCAGATTGCAATGACTTGATTTTTCACCATCTAAATGTCGGTAGCTAAGTTTATAACTCCAACAGGAACTAGTTCTTAATCACTGAATGTACAGTATTTCGTCTCAAAGGAAGCTTAAAAATAAAAATGCAATACCATGATGTCATTGACCAATTAACATCTTGATTTGTGACCTTCCCCCGATGAGAACATTTACATCTGATTAATTACTTTTTCTCTTTTTGCTCATTTAAACTTTCAGTACGGGTGAATTAAATAACAGCTGCACTCATTCACATCTTTATTACAGTGTCATAATTTTTCACTGAAAAAGGTTTATTAAGACCACTTTTATATGTTAGTCTACTTCAGAATAATAGTGTTGGTGTTTCTTTTTGATGACGTCCTTAATCTGTTTATACGTATCAGTTGACAAAGTCTTCACCGTGTAAGCTGAAGACAAAGCTATATGTGCTTTTCTTTTGGCAGTGCTTACCTTCACAATGATTTAAGAGAAAAGTGACAGAGCACTTTAAGCTGCTGCTTTAGTACTCTCCTTTTCTCTTCCAGAGTTGCAAGCTCACTTCCACCAAGAATCAGCAAACAGAACATTATCTATTAGGTTGGATTACTTGGACATGTGCCTTTTGTTTTTACTGTTAAATTTAACACAAAGACAATGGCGTCATAGCTAAGTTTAAAGAAGAGGAGGGCCATGCAAGACTGCCTGTGTGCTTAACACAAGCTCTCATCGTGGCCGACAAAAAGCACTGCGTTTGTTTTCTACAAAAAGTTTCAAACATTGTTTTTTTTTTCATTCACTCCTTTTTTTGTCAAGGTTAGTTATGCTCACTTCAAATTTGTCGTGAAAAACCGTGTCATTCAGTTAAAAGTTATAAAACAAATTAGCATCACAAATAAACACATTTATGCACAGCAATGGATTCTCAAGATACTGATCTGAATTTCCACCTCTTATTCTGTCTCCTGAATTAGATTTATTTATGAATCTGCGCAGATCTCTGAAAATGAAGGAAGGTAGGATGCATGAGGTGATGAAGTGTAAATTCTAGACAAAGCATAATTACCGTATACAAAATTGCACACCTGCATCGGTGCCTACATCTGTTCATTTCATTGTTAATCCCGGGTCTGTTGCTGTCTTTAGCCCATCCAGCCCACCATGTTTCTGTTTTTGCCTTCTTGCTTCTGGTTTCCCCCCACTCCCTTTCTCTTTGTCTGTTTAGATGCCTCAAGCTGATTGACAGCATATAAACTAAAATAAAGCCCATGCGGCGGTGTCAGATAGGAACTAGTTTTTCTCCTTGTTTGTGCTTTCACTCATTTTCACCTTCCTGCACCTCACACCTCGACTCTTCTTTTCTTTCCTCACGTGCTGTGTTTTCCCTGGTTTAGTGTATGTTGATGTTATCACTGACTAGAGCACTCCTGCTTTTTCGAATTTCATTGTTATGAAATGAGGAGAGTAAAAACACAGTATTAACTATGAATGCCACAATCATACAAAGATTGCATACATAGGTATCTAGTTCTATCACTGCCCGTGCAACAGTCCCACGCAATCATTACCGGATGTTACGGCAAATTATTTTGCCAGCCGCCTCACTCAGGATGAGGTTCCCATAATTTGAGTGAGACAGACCTTGAAATTGACAGCGCTATCTGTTCCACGGCTGAGGCTTTGTCCCTGTTGATGTAAATTTATGCTACTCAGAGGCTTTTCAGCACCCCTCTTCACCCAGTAAAAAGGCCGAGAAGTTTAACATCCATCTCTCTATGGTGCTGCTCCTCAAAGTACTTTCAAAGTGCAACACTTGCTGCCAGAGTTGAATAGAGCCCTGAATTGTCAGCAATAATAGAGAGATGGCTTTTAGGTCTATAATTAAGTTGTGTTATAAATGTCAGCCATCCAGAGGGATGGAATTCATGCATACATATTATTACCCCGGGAATTCAAAAGGCAGCGCAGATCCTCTCGCTTGAAAGCAATACAATTTCTTTTTTTCCCCCAAATGCGCTCTGAACCACCAAATACCAAAACTTAAATGTGTACTATAATTTCTGAGGTCATAGCACTTCTAGTTCTTTTGTCCCATAACATTGTTTATTTATTTAAATTTTAGCAGAAAATGCATAGTTGTGGCACTGTCTTTTGATGAGAAATTGGAGGACATTATACATTCAACATGGTATTCCACTTTTTGTGGGAGCCAAGCCTGGCAGTTTTGTTTGGCCTCAGTTGCTGGCATCACTTGAACATCAGCACAATATATAGCAGCCTTGTAAAGAAAGTAACAGTGAAGTTATTTTTCCTCTAAAGGATCAAATATTTTTTTAGCTAAATCAAATCCCCATGTTTTATCTCTGCTGCAAAGGTTAAATGTGTTTGTTGGAGAAGGTCTTCAAAGAGAGCATTAAAGTCAAATGGTACACAGTAGCCTGATGCATTTCAGTTGGACAAATGAAGACCTTTCCTGCCTCTACCCGGAGGGGTGTTCGAGTGAAGTAAAAAGGGTGCTGGAGTGCTGTGACAGAATCAAAGGCTTCTTTGACTCTTCTGTTTGCCTCTGTAGATCTCTACATCTTTGAGGGCATTTTCCAGCGTAGAAAACACATGGCCTTTACCACTCACCATGTTTCCACATGCAGTGATTTAAAAATGTTTACCCATGAATGCATATCATTTGTATTTTCACACAAATTAATTATTTGTTGTCGTGTTTAGAAAACCAAAAGCTGACCCCATGATATAATATCTCAGAATAATAATCCTGAATCCACCTAAGAATGAAATAGTTAAATAAATTAGGACTCCTTCAGCTATGCAGAATATATATTTGAACATGTATATCAACATTTTGCATGCATGGATATTTTTATATCAAACAAGGACTGAACCCAGGGAAAGCCTTTGATTCTAGATCACTGGCTCCAATTAAATTCATGCAAAGTAAATAAAATCAAAACAATAAAAATGAGTACATTTCTTTTTCTCAATGTTTCAAGTCACTGGTTTTTATTTTTGCTGTTGTTTTTAGTGCTTTCTCATTCAGGTGCATGTCTTTACATTAAATTAACAAAAAATAATATATTTTAGTCCTTTAATTAAAAAAAAGAAATTTTATTACAAAAGAGTGGCTGTTTGATGAAAAGTTCTTAAGGCCTCGACTGCAACGTGAGTCGGAGCTCGAAGAGTCACTGCACACCAGCATGTTTGGAAAATGAGCAGTAAACTGCATTTCATGTGTAAAGCTACTAATGAACCAGAAAAATCAGATTACTTCAGCAGAAAATGGAAGAACTGTTCCATTTTTGTCAAAAGTCTTCTTTTCAGCTGAAAGTCCATTTTACATTGCATTTTTTGTTCAAGATCCCTGAGCCCAGAGGGACAGAGAGGTTGATAATCTAACTTGCTTGAGGTCCATGGTGAAGTTTCAGTCAGTGATGAAATATAATTTCCTGGTGTTTGTCCAAAAGCCCAAATCCAGCCCAGCTGTCTTCCAGGAAGTTTTAGAACACCTCATCCTTCCTTCTGCTGCCAGGGTATATGGAGATGCTAATTTCATGTTCCAGCTGGGCTTGGCAAAAGTACCACTGGCAAACGTAACAATATCTGATTTAGTGACCATAGTATAAGGTTGCTTGACAGGCCAGAAAACTAGTCCAATCTGAACCGGTCCAAAATCTATGACGCATCAGAACCAATTATGCAAATTTAATGTCCACCTTTTAAGTCATCTGGGCTTTTTAAAACCCTCAGCACTGCCACAGGATAATCACACTGATGCTGTAAGACAAGCTTAAGGAGACTTAACCAAGTACTGATACATATTATATTAGCTATAAGCCAAAATAATCAAGGTAAGAAAAGTAAACCCTAAGAATATGCAACTGCCTTTGCAATGAATCGATGTACCGGTAGATGAGTGTTTAATTTTTGTATTGATTTACTGAAACCTTTATAATGGCATTCTAATTTATTGAGATTCATCTTCTGAATCATCCTGTCACAATGTATATTTATTCAGTCTTACCAAAGACGATAATCAGCTTGAAATATACTTATATCATCTAACTAGTGTAGAGTTCCAGAATTATTCAAAGCCTGCTCCCTTGTGGTCAACCACTTCTGTTGACCACAAGGGAGCAGGCAAATCTGTTCAGTTTGATTTTTCTGCCTCAGCTAAACAACACCTTTAATATGATTTGAATCCTCTATAAACTCACCTAATTCTTTCCTCTGTGAGCCGAGAGACGATTAGAAAGGCAGATCACAATAGTATGCCTTTGCATAATCTGTTTTATGAGTGACTGTGCACAAATCCCACTATGTAAATATTGAACAGATAAATAATGACAGACACGCTAAGACAGTAAATGCTCTGGCTTTAGTTTTTAAAGCCGACAGGGGTCAAAACAGAAATGGACAGGAAGAAGAATGTCCCAGGCAGCTAATGCCTTCTTTGTGGTAACACTGATTTAACACAAAACACAAATGATAGAATATGTTAACAAATCAGGAAAGTAAATGATACCATAAAGTCAGTGGTGATGAATAGTGTTTTCTCTATGCAATTCAAAGCCATTTTACTGACATGTCCATCTCTTTGTGTGTGTGTACAGGCTGTGCCTTTGTCAAGTTCTCGAGCCACGCAGAAGCGCAAGCCGCCATCAACAGTTTGCATGGTGGACAAACTATGCCTGTAAGTATCAGAGTCTGTGCTCGTTCTGTATTGCAAACTTTCCACTTTTTACCCCAGATAACGCAATGTCACCAACCTGTCTGTGCTAATTGTTTTCTCTGTGGTTCTGACGAACACTTCCAAAAAGCTAAGACTACAGTCGAATACAGATTTTCAAAATGTAATAGAATCTTTGTCCTTCTATTCCTTTGGAAAGTCAAACATTATGGCAAGAAAAACACTCAAACGTGTAACAAATACCCTCTGCATACACATATTTGTGGTCACCATAGTTACTCAAACCACATCATGAGCCAAGATTCAAACACATTTTACCAATGTGTTACTGCCAGAGTCAGCATCTGGTGCTTTAAAATAAACAGCAGGAGGCTGTATATCTGTTTTTTTCACTCAATGACTATATCCTCCTGTGGTTCAAGCTATTTTCTGGCAAAAAAAAATAATATTTACATCAAAAATCTTGAAGGAAAATGAGGGCAGCATGCTACAAAGGGATTTCTGAATGTGTTTTGGTTGTCACTGAGCAAATCATAGTTTGATTCCAAAGTCAGGACATGGGGTGATTTTGTAGAATGTCAGCAGGACAGAAATCATTTTGGTAGACAATTAGTTCTGATATCAGAGATTTGTTTTAATTGTGGGAAAAAGTAGAGAAGTATTTTAGCTAACCCTAAATTGTTATAAAGCTTAAAAATGCCAATTTTCTTCCACTCATTATTCATAAAATTAGGTGTTTAGGAAAGGATTTTAGGTGGGATTTTGTTCAGAGAAATTGTGCAGGGCTAGGATGTTTTTGTTTTTATTAATCAATAGAAGAATAAATATGCTTTTAAAAAAATTGCCATTTAGTTAAGCTGTGAAGTAGTACACAACTTGTGTTTTGCATGGAAGTGAATGCAGCATATAATGATCTATGTCGCGCTCATCTTCTCTCACTTGTTTATGCAGTAACAGGAAGTAGGTAGAGAAAGGCAAAACATTTATGATGATGTTATATAATTAAACAATGGATGACAGAATTGCAAGTCAAGTTGAATAATGGTTTTGAAAGTGGACAGAGGTAAACATTAAAAATTCTAAAGTCAACAAATATCTAAGGGGAAATAATTCACCTGAGGAAGTGAGAGAAAAAAACATCTGAAAATGGGTAGTTGTTACTTTATTTTGTTGTTTACAGTATTGCCTTTTTTGGCTAATCTTGCTAAATTCAGACTGGAGGGACATTATAATAACATTTCCACGAAAAGTCATTTAATGTTAACAGTGCCAAAGATGGAGCTTAAACACTTATTACTGTAGAACTAAATCACATGCATTTCAACATTACATGTTCTGTTGAATAAGTGTTATTTTTTCCCAACATACTTGCATGACTTAGAAGAGTATTAAGTGTAAAGCTGCTGATTTTATATCAGTAAAATTTACAGACGTCTTTGTTTATGTGTGGATGGCTCACCTTTTTACATGACCATGGTTTACAATACACAATATGTAGTTTGATGATGAACAGAAAAAATATTATTTATCAAGATTTATATTGACAAACTTAAGCAGCTCGTTAGAAGGTCCAGGACAATTGCACATTTCTATTAGCGTAATCCCAGTCTAAAATTTCTCATACCTCTATAAATCTAAATTGCTGCTGTCAGATTTGGGTTTGGGTTGATATTTAGAATGAAATTAAATGAAGTAAAATGTCAAAGAAACAAGTTCAAATTAAGACAAAAATAAAAATAAAATATAACAATAAAAAACCAAAACTTTAATCCATATTTTCTTATCATTTTTAATGTTGCCTCACATTGACTACTCATTGAATTCCATCTGTTGGTTATTTCTCTGCTTTTCTAGAAGAGTAGTTTTGGTGTCAAACACTACATGTTTTGAGGGGGTAGTTTATCCTGCAGTCCTTCTGTTATTTTAACTCCACATTGTATAAATTCCTACTTAACAGTACTTTGTACTGTTAAGCTGGGATAACAGTCTCAATCTTATAAAGATGTTCAGATTTACCATTGTACTTTGCATGGCTGCAAAATTTTATGTTTGACAATATTAATTAACCTGACAACTTATTTGCTGCTTCTGCATTAATACCAACCCACACAACCTGTCTACCCATTTTAAAACTGTTGTGGTTTATTTATTGGCTTCTATTGCACATTCTGAGAATTTCAACCACAAAACATACTGCAATAAATATATAATTAAATACATCTGAATAGTTTGTAATAAAGGAAGAGAAGATAGAGGGCTTCACAAAAATCAAAACTTCTTTCAGCTTCACAGTAGAAATGTCTTGGTAACATCTCATCAAAGTCAAATTACTACCAGTGACAATATGGCCCCTGTCATGGGGCCACTTTTTGTTAAAGAATATTAAAACATTAAAAACACTTAAAAGTACAGAGGCTTCATTACAGAGACTACAGGGAGAGTTAACAAGGGAGTCAATAATATTAAAAAGCACCCTAGAGTTAGGATGGATCTCCAAAATAGGGTCAGATTAATAAGCCTCTTTGCTTCCTCAACTGCGTTTTGATATTATAGTGTTGGGTCTCTGGTGATAATGAGGGAGATTTGCACTTTATTAACCCTTCAATACCTTTTTTTTAATCTTCATTTATTCATCAATACAATCGATGCCAGATTTAACTCATAAATAACATCAGCTTGAATTCAGATGAACTTCATTCTAAAATTCTACTGAGAAACCATTTTTGTTTTTTTCTCATCTTTCAGGACATATTGTTACGATAGTGGAATTTGCTTCATAAGCATACGTTGAGTTTGCATAGAAGTGGAGAAACTCCACTGACTTTGACCAAACCTTTGTATCCTGAAAGGGTGTTCTCACATTAAAATGAACTAACTGGAAATTATGTCACTGGCATTTCATGTGATAGACCAATGCAAAATTGTAGATAACTGTAATGTAAAAGAGATATGACACCTAGATTAAAATTGGAAAAAAATATATCTAAAACGTCTGGGTAGGTGTGTTGATCCCCATATTCATAAATGAAAGCAGTCCAAGTTACATTAAGAATTTGTGTAATTAGGAAATGTAGCATTTTTACTTAAGCAACACATTGTCCTTAAACCACCAGAATTACAATTAAATGGTTAACAGATCAAGTCCTGGTAATGTGTTAGTCGATACATTAATGATGCATTAATACAGTTAAATATACAAACATCATAAGTCTAATGTTACACAGGAAGGATGGCTTTGTTAAACTTCTTTTTCTCCTTTTGCTTAATGAAAGCTGCAAAAATCACGTTTTATAATTTTCGTAATTTACTGAGCTGGTTGTGCATTGGTTACCATAGCACACAGCTGGACACACAGGAGCACCCACTTTTTCTGGCAAGCATTTGCTTCTCCACACACTTCACTGATGTTCCCGAAATAAATATTTACGGATGCTTCCTGGCAGCCAGATCGGGTTCTTGGAGCCAGATGTGCCGGAGTTTTCACCTCTTTTTGATGCTGCCTCACTTTACATTACACTAAAGCAAAGAGTGAAACATTTAAGTGGTACAGTCAAAAAGTGAACTACTGGCCATGGAAAAGTTACTTTGCAAAAACTTCATATAAAGACAGATGTCTCTCCATTTAGAGTTAAGCAAAGTCTAAATACAATTTTTTCATCAAATAAACTTGTTGGCTTAATCCCTAGAAGGCAATTTGAATTGCATTTGGCAGAGTTACATTACTAATTTAAAAGAGGCCATGTTTTGCAGACTTGCAAAGGGAATTTGGCTAATGGTCGTGGCTCACATCCACTTTTTATTTCTTCACTTGTATTGTAGCTAACACACAGTATTTTAGAGCACTGGGTCACCTGAGGTGAGCCATGGATAAAATGTTGAAGTTAACATATGGAGTCTCAAACACACCTACACTGGATCAAGAGACAGCTAAAAGTTCATAAATAATCTACAGTAAATTATCCATAGCTCTCTCCATCTATCCTTGCACCTGTTATCTTCATCTCCCCAAATCCAACTTTCACTCAGATTAATTGGCAAGGTGGTCATTAGTATCCAGCGAAAGCTTTGGACGCAATGGGAGATGCAGTTAATTTGGATAATATCACTGCCACATGTCGTCAACAACAGACTAACAGGAGGCAGGATTCGAAGAGTGGGCTGCTCTGCACACCGCCTGGTGCCAGCTGCGAGGTCTGAATGAACCTTGAACAAAGAGTTGTCTCTCACTCTGTCTCTCTTTCCCTCTTAATGTTCTCACAGCAACATCTGTGTTACCTGGCTCACACACATACTATAAATAATACTGCAAGTGAAACGCAGTGGCCCTCTGTGAAAAGCTTTAATGAAGCTTAAGGGCACTGGAAGTCACCAATAGGGCTCACACTGATAGATTGGGTCATAGCTTTAATTGAAGTTTATTGTGGGTTTCAGGTGCTTTGAAATGTAACCCAAAGGACGATTGAGCACAGAGCTGGCCTTCTCATGAGTTCAGCTGTAAGACTGTGAACACACAGGTGGCAGAACTTCAAAATGGCAAACCCAGGGGCAAGCACGCAGCAACCAGCAAATTGCACACAATGTCGTGTTTGGTGTTGCAGCGTGGCTGACAGGGCTTCAGGAGTTTGTTGGTGTTGGCTCGTGTGTTGTAGAGTTGTGGTGTAATGAGGGATGTATTGGAGATATATTTGGTCTGATTCAGTGTCCTGCACAGTGGTAGCCATGGGTATAGAAAGTAGATCCAGACCAAGTTAGCTTTCTCTCTGCTAATGAGAGATGTTCTTCCCATGAGGCTTTTAGAGATGCGGCGAGGGTCAGAGAGTTGAATATGAGGCCCTCACGGGGGGTTAGCTAATTACCAAACAAACTTGTTATAGTGTGCTCAATTATTATTATTATTTTTTTTATCTCAGTTGATAAATTTAGTTTCTTAGATCTGAAAAAAGTAGATGAGTGTCGAGGTCTTATTAGTTACTTAACTGTAGATTTTACATTGAATGCTACTGAAACGGAGTAAATGACTGACATTTTGTGCTTTTGTATTAATTTCCACTTCATTGACCCAGCTTGTTATTGGTATTGTTGTAAGCCTTTGTGAAGGATAGAAAAAAATGTTTACCTGTTTTTAGACACATCACCACAGTGTCTTTATATCACAGTAATGTAGAGATAAAAGCTTTATCCTATTTCTCCTCTGCAATTGAATTCTAATCCTTCAATTACCATTATGTATTTCCCCTTTCTGCGCATTATGTCCCCTATACAAAATCCAATATAGGAGATTTTCCGAAGTCAAGTGTGTTGTTCAAAAAATTTGATTAGTTTTTGAACCTGTGACAAATTCCTTAGTTGTACCTGTCAAAAGTGATGGCTCCCTGTTGGCCCTTATCAAATTTGGAGAATTCATTTCTCTCCAGGTACTGGAGTCATACTGCGGGAGGTTATTATTCTGTTTGTTTGTCAGCTCGTGATTTTCTGCAGCCAGCGAGGAGCGGCTGGTTTGTGTCCATTGCTTGTTTGCCCACAACTGTTCCTTCATTACCTGGCCACACGCTTCTTTTTCTTTAAGTGGTTTGGGACATTTGATCTTTTACAAGGTCCTGCAACCTGTGACTCTGGACCACATGTAGCTCTTCGGGCTCTACATCATGGCCAATTACTTCGGTCAGGAATTATTTTAATATCATCATTGGATTTTTTAAATAGAGTGCAATTAAAAACCCCAGATTTTTACGATTCTTACATATGGTTTGATGAAACATCAAACTTCTTTTTCCTAGGAAGCAAGGTCAAATTTCTTCAGTGAACTGAAAAGACTGCTGATCTTATTGCAAAAATATTTGAATCATGCCGGTCTGATTCCACCTTCAGTCTAGTTTGTAGTCCTTGTACGTGACTTTTTTTTTTTGTCGTAGTTGAGGTGAAAAGGCTAAAATCTGCAGAGACGATTGTACTAGTTTAGAATATTTGCCAAAACATTCATAGTGAGTCTGTTTCAGTGCTGAGACAGAGCTCTCTGCTGGAAGGAAGAAGGCTCAGCCAGACTTTCTTCATCTGGAGTCACGGTGCAGTGACTACAGACAGCCTCAGGCTTTCACTGTCACAATACTCATAATGCATTCTTCATGAGGTATTAAAAGAATATAAGAATACACAAATACACAAGGCAAAGAATGAGTGAATTTAAATGCCACGCCTCTGTGCTGTGGGCAGGCTTGAGCAACAACGCTCCAGGAAGATGTTTGCACACTGCCAACCTCATTAAATCTCACCGTCCAGTTCCTTAAACTACTCCACAAAGCTGAGAAAGCATAGAAAAAAAAGGTCAGGAGGTGGAATGAAATGAAATTAGAAGGGGAAAACCAGTGCTGTTAACAGTGCCATATTCAAGTATTGATTTAACTAATTAAAATGGCACCAAGGGAGAAGCGGCAGATGGGTCTCCTCTGGCCTGAGGTGGGGTGCTGGCTGGCTCTGATATGTTCCCATCTGAGATGTGCTGTCCTGGGGGTCTCTGCTGATGCTTTCCATCATTCCCGACTCTTCTTCATAGTTATCTACAGCCAAAACATTCCCTCTGTAGTCCTGAACGACTGTTCATGAAACTTAGTTCGAGTAACTTGCAAAAACTCTAAACAAGAGATGGTTTTCTACATTAGCCTATGCATATTTATCACTTTCATGCAGAATTTATTAGATTATGACAGCTGGAAATGTAGTGCATGGAGGGTTATGATGTAAACAAATCACTTTTATCAGAGAACTGTGAAAAATCAATGTGTGGAAATGTATGTTTCTTTGCATGCGTATGCATGCAAGGTTAGGTTTAGATTTGTTACTAACAGAAGATGCAAAAATAACATGATTTTTGAAATATCATGGCAATAATAATAATAAAAGTAACATATTGAAGTATTAAGGCTTAACCATCAAATTAGACACTGTTTAGTGTACCTGTAACATTTTGTCAAAACAAACTTTTATTTTAAGAATTTACTAATGGACTTCCATCAGTTTAGTCTCTTTGCGCTTTAGTGCTTGTATTCTGCAAAGGAAACAAAAGTTGTCTTCTGTCCGTCCTTATGTACCCTGGAGTTGTCTGACGTTTCTAATTTCCAATCATCAAAAAATACTGAAATTTTAATCAAAACGAGAATTTGCTCTGACCTTGTCAGGATGAGGCTTTTTTTGTGTGTGTGTGAATCAGACTTGTGATTATGGGGTCCAATCCTCTCACTGTGCCTTTGCTTTTATGATCTTACTAATCATATCCTCACTGCCCCCCTAGCTGTTTCTGTCCTTCTGTCCTGGTGGTACTCCATGCTCTTTCCCAGCATGCATTGCCTGTAATTAAATAGAAGCCTGGTTCTCTTGACAGTGTCTGTAGCTGCTTTTTGTGCCTGGTGGCCTCATCATCCTCTCTTGTTCCTTCTATATCTGTCTTTCACTCACACATAGACTCACTTCCTCCCGCTTTGTCCAAATGAGCAACTGATTCTGGTCTGTGTCTTTCAAATGATTTAATTGGATGCAAACTCAGGAGCACGGACATCAATACGGAACTATATCTGCCATAAGGAAGAGCCATTAGTCAATACTTCGCCCTCTACATGCCGAAGGCTTTTGTCAGACCTAATTACCCGATACTATATTCAGTGAAGCTTTACCAGTGGGGGACTGGCACTCCTGTGGGATCTGGTTAGGATCACAGTTCACTCCCAGTGTATACAGTGGAGTTGGAAAGTTCACAAAAGCGAAGAGCACTCACTGTTCTCTTCCGATGAAAGATGACAGCTAAGTGACTACACAAATACAAGGTGCTTATTCATTTCCCTGTGTCCCTTTGGTTTAAAGATATTAGACTGTAACCTAAACTGCAAATCAAATAAGAGATACCTATCCCAGCTGTCAGTTAATGAAAAACGAGATACAATACACAATACACCACTTTTCCTAAATCACCTATGTTTTGTCAGTCTTTAGTATATCTATGTATTTACTAACTTTCAGATGCAGAAAGGTATCTACCAGCTTTCCACATTAAGATACATTTTATTCATTTGTCTTTAAAAACAGGTGGGAAAGATTAAATAGATGGAGTCTGTTTGCATTGATTTCCAGGTCTTGAATCAGATCTTTAGTTGAACTTACTTGTAAATGTTCACTATGGAATCCAAGCACATAAATTTATAATTGTCAAAAGAAATCAGCCAATATATCAGAAAGAACTTATGTAGCTGCACAAGTCTGGATCATTCTGGAGAATAAGTTCCAGATTTTTGAAGTTGCCACATTCACTTGTTTGTAATGGTTTCTGGTTCTCAGGTTCTGTGGTCCAAAAAATATTATCTCAACCCCACTACAAGATGCTGGCAAAAGTGGGTAGAAAAGTGTCATTATTCACAGTAAAATGTTTGTGTTTTATTGAAGATATGCATCTCAATACACAGGCAAACTCTATTTACTATTTGGAACCATTCCGATGGCCATAAGTTAGATTTCAGACTAAACAGCAATGAATGCACACAACACATTTCTAACTTTTATTTATAAAAACTGTTATTTTTCTTCCATTGCTTTGTGTTGGTCTGTTGGATAACTCTCAATAAAATACCCTGTAGTTTGTTGCTTCGACATGACAAAATCTGAAAATGATTCAATGAGTTGGGTACTCATTGACACTGAGCTATTTGAATGAATTGAAGCGATACACATTTTTAATAGGATAGTCTTAAAAGCCTTAGTTACATATTTTATTAACCTTGTAAACTGTATGTGGGTCCACAGGGTGCCTCGTCCAGCCTGGTGGTCAAATTTGCAGACACTGATAAGGAGAGGACCCTGCGCAGAATGCACCAGATGGCGGGCCAGCTCGGCATCTTCAGTCCCATGACCATCCAGTTTGGGGCCTATGGCGCCTACTCTCATGCTGTAAGTCTCAGCCCAGCGGGAGAGGAGACGGTGAGCTTTAAAGAAAGACAAAAAAATGTTTCTGATCTGAGTTTTGAAATCATCCTCTTTCCCACTAGGCATGTGACACTCCCTATGAACCTTTTCATATGATGTTAAATTGCTAAGATTTCAAGATTTCTTTAACTTCGAAAGTCAAAGTAAAAAAAAAAAAGTAGTGTTTACTTTTACGTTGACTTATTTTCTCACTGTGTTCTTTCCCTAATGCGTTTGATATGTTTTTTCTCTCTATTTCAAATTACATGTATCATGATTGCAAATCTGTTGCATATATTGTTCAATTTAAAAACATCTTTCACATTCCTGTTTACTGATCTGCAGGAGCATTTAACTGCTAACTTTAGCCTTCCTCTTTTAGATGCACTTTTCTGCTCAAGAGGTGCATTTTATCACAGAGAAGAGACCGTTCACCCCTTACGCCCTTTTCTGTCAGCCCAGCCCACCCCTATTTCATATTCACACATGAAAATCACAGCCTGAGTTAGGAGTCTGTGAGATTTTACACTCACACAGTAGCTAACAACTCATGCTGACAGGTGAGAATCGCCCACTCGCACACTATCTCTCAAACTCTGCCGCTGCAACCCCCCTCTTTTTTTCCATATACATTTCAATCATATAGATATACATAGAATTCAGCATCCCTATCACTTTACATAACTTTTTATCTTCTTTCCATGTAATGAGCAGAAAATCAGAATGGCCTTAGAGTAGCCAGCAAGCAAAGCTGCAAGGCAAAACAGATCTTTCTGTTCAAGAGCAAGGCATGGGCCAAGCAAACAGATATGTGAGAGTAAACATACTCTGATCCTGCAGCGATTTCACCCTCCTTTTCTTTTCTGTCCTTCCCTTCATCCCTCTCACCACTCGCCTCTCCCCCTACTGCTCTTTAATCCTACAGCAGATGATGCAACAGCAAGCAGCCCTGATGGCAGCAACACAAGGGTCCTACCTGAACCCCATGGCAGCCATTGCTGCCGCGCAAATGCAGCAAATGGCAGCTTTCAATGTCAATGGCCTGGTGGCTACTCCTATGACACCATCCTCAGGTATGCACCAACATTTAACATCATCTGGCACAAGTCATGCTCAGTTAGGGGAGTCTTGTCCATATCTCGTGACTGCTGGGAAACATTTGTTATTTGGATTATTTGCAATAAGTTCAACGTTTCATAATTCTTCCAGAATTTTAGCTGTTGCTGTTGTTGTTCTTTTAATTCAATTTGTTTCAGATCAGTTTATTTATTTAGCACTAAGCAACCAGAAATGTAATTTAAGACATTTGCGTAACTCATCCAGAAATATAAATTCAGGTCAAATCAGCACTCTCCAATCATAGATAAACATAACATCTACTTAAGTTACGTACATTACAATTTAATGTAAGTTTTAAAACAGTGCAGTCAAATTTAATGATTGAGTTGGAGCATTGCATTACGTCAAAAACTTTGACATTTGCACACACATCTGGTGGATGTCCGCTTTGAGTCTTCTTTGAGTAAGTGTGGAAATTTACGAAGTGAAGTATGCCTGAGTTGGTGGAAGACTTTTATGTCATTGATCTTGTCAATTATATTGTTTATTGAAATTGTTAGAGGTAATCATTGTCTTTGAAACTGATTTAACATCAGAAAACAAGAAATCTAAGGTTACATACATTTTATGTGTTCTGCATGCATATAAATAGTTAAAACTGTATATCTGCAACAACTAACTGCAGGTTGAGAGAATAGAGAACACAAAAAACACAGAAGCAGTAGTTCAGGTGCTTTCTGAGGAGGGAAAAATACTTCACTCACAGAAAAGTTCACAGAGCTAATGGCAACAGTTGCTCAATTACTGGTTTCATCTAAGGGTGAAACACAGCCAAACAAAGAAGAGCTGAGCCAGTAATGCTATCTGTGAAATGAAAAATAAAGCACACATTGTTAGTTCTTTTTGGGTCTAAGCTCTGTTTTGCTGTAAAAACAGGCACTACAAGTACTAAATTAAAGGAAGCAGAAGCTTGTGCTTCTGAGAGGCTTGGTGATAGAAGATGTAGAGCAAACCCATACAGCATTGGCAGCCACATTATAGTTTCTACTTCCTTTCCGAACATACATTATGTTTCCGTTCTTCCTCTGTCTGTCACGTTCTCCTCCTGCGTCTCTGATGTTGTGTGTTTTCTGGGAACACAGCCAATCCAATAACTTGGCATGCAGAGTCCTTGGCTTATACAATATAATAGCAAAGATTTGTGTGAGATAATCCTGGACCCCAGTCTGAACTATCTTTTTGGCCCTTGTCATAAGGAGCTTTGAAGGCTTGACACTAAGTAGGCAGGTTGCCTGAAGGCAAGGCTTTTGCAAATGTATTATATAAAGTGGCTTGATGCTGTACCTGGCATTTGTAATCCACAAGGCCTACATATTCTTACTAATACCTATCAAAGATAATCCTACATGACTTAAATGCCCTTCACCTAGATAAGAGAAAAAAATACAATTTTGTCAGCACAAAAGGCCACTGGCAAGGTGAAAGCTGAGCTTAGAAGAACAAAACACAAACCCTTATTTTTAGCACTCAGGTGCATTATAGAAAAGTTTATTTCAAGAGCTTCATTCAAAAGTGAAACTTATACATACCATACAGTAGATTTGTTCCATGCATGTGTGCTTATTCCTTTTATTTTTAATAGTGATAGTTTATGGCAAATGAAAACCCAAATTTCCATTTCAATGAAAATTACAATATTACATTCAACAAGAAGTATTTTATTGCAAAAATGTGTTATTGCCATGCCTGATGACTGTTGACAGGGTACAATAAATCCATGCAAAATGCCTTACAGTATATTCAAATGTATGGAGTTTCATCTGCAATATACATTTTGACATTCTCTCAAAATAAAACCATCTTAGATTAGATTTCTGACAAATTTTATGACTCCCCTTCCTTTGGCTCAACAGGCAAACATTTGTTAAAAAAATATGTTATTTAATTCTTTATTGGGAGTTTCAAGCAACACATTTAGAGACAGGTAGCAAAGTTGAGAAATTTTGCATTCACCCCACAGGCCTCTGCAGTCGACTTTCCATGATAACATTAACATCTACTTGCAGGCACCAGCACACCCCCAGGCATTTCTGCTACAGCCGTGCCAAGCATAGCCACACCTATTGGGGTCAACGGATTCAGTGCTCTTCCGCCTCAAAGCAATGGCCAGCCTACATCGGAGCCCATCTACACCAATGGCATCCATCCTTACCCAGGTGAGTTATATCAGATTTATGTAAATAAAAGGAAAGACGTATTAATGTACTAATAATGCTGAAGTCTGCTGCTTCATTTGCCACATTGTCACCTGTTCCTTCTTATCCTTAAATGCTTCAATGTGATTCCATTATACTTGATCTGATAAAAAGAATCACTTGTTTGCCACAAAATAAAATCTACATGTAAAGAGTGGCAAATTGGATCTCTTCATTTTGACAGGATGTTAGAAGTCTCTTTCTTAATTTCACTTTTTTAGAACAAAAGTATTTGAGGCTCCCTCAACCATCAGTCAATTATGGTTAATCTGATGTGCCTCAGCCTGTCCTCGGTCTCTTAATGTTGTCTGGGATGGATTTCTGAAGAACTGACAGACATTCTCTCCCCATCTTTGCATTATGCAAAGCAAGCTGCAATCGTAATGAACTACAAAGTGGTTTGTTTGGCACATTGTTAATATTTGATGCAAACATCTGGGGCAAGCAGGCATTTTGAAGAACTCAAAGATATGACAACCCAAATTGCTGTCACTCCCTGTGTGATCCCACCTCCTGGTGTGTCTCTGGTTTGGCCAGTATCTGCCTCACTCTTTAATGTGATCTCTATATCTTGCTGTCCTTCCTCTCTTTGACTATTTTGTTTCTATTTCCTTCGAAGTCACCCTTCACTCTCTTTCTTGCTTTTCATCTCTCTGCAGCACAGAGTCCAACGGTGACCGACCCTCTCCAACAGGCTTATGCTGGCGTCCAGCACTACGCAGGTGATCCAACTCTCCTGCCTTCTCTACTTTCTCACTTTCTCCATCTGTCTATTTCCCCCTCTTTGCTCCATTTTTTGGTTGGTCATTCCAGTTGGCATCGTGACAGGAAGAGATGACCAGATGACTGAGTATTTTCCTCTTCAATTAGGATGATAGTAAAAGGATTTAAGTTGACTTAAATTTGTGTCTCACATAATCTTTCATTTACATAGACTTTCTTTTATTGTTCATATCTATGTTCAGTTGAACTCCACCCCACTCCCTCTTTTGCCATTTTTTTTTTGTGTGTGTGGTGATCCACCAGACAAATGAGCCCTAGCTCCCAGTCATAATGCAATTTATTTATGCAATGACTTGAGGACCCAAATGAACAATGGAATAATGATTTGAGTTTTGTTGTGTCAAATATGAAAATGGAGATGTGAAGAATTCCACTCTGGTTCTCCCTTTGCAATAGCAGCCTACCCTGCCGCCTATGCGCCAATCAGCCAAGCGTTCCCCCAGCAACCGACCATCATTCCCCAGCAACAGAGGGAAGGTAAGAGCGAGCAAGCGCGCCCACCCAAGATAAAAGGTGATAATTGCCATGTTCCATTCTAATGTAGCTTCACTGCTTTGAATTAGTGAGGGAGGGGAAAAAAGCTGGCTGGGGAAAATGTGAGAAAAAGGCTCCCATTTAAAGAGAAGAACATTAGCACTGAGATGGAAAGTTACTCTGTCATTATTCAAAAAACTGCACTAATTCAAACTCACAGTGTTGGGCTGCTTAATCAGTCCATTACAATGTGTTTAAGTGGTTATAAATATTCATCAGATTAATTAGCTGCATGCATAATCATTTATTACTATTCCTTGTGTAATGTGCACTCTTTTGCCACTGCATAAGACGTAATAAACCATAGGATATACTTTGATGGTAAATCACTCTTTTTGACGCCATTCGTCAGTCTTAATTATTCAACTGCATGATTAAATGAAACAGCATAGAGTGGGATGAATATTCATGGTGAGGAGAAATTGAGTGTTTTCAGGATTGCTTGAAGACAAAGTTGTTAGTGGTAAGAATGTGTTCAAGGTTCACAGTTTTACATGAAGTGCATCACTGTACTTGCTGCAGTAATTGCAATAATTTGAAGTTTTGTTGTTTTTTTCTCTAAAACAAAAACAGAGTTTTATACTTCAGCAAGAAAAATAGAAGTCTACTGGCCCTCACACAGACACAGCCACCGTCAGGGCCTCACAGAGCGAGCTATTCTTGGCTTAGCCAGTGGCCTGTCTGAGTTCTAGCCTCCACTGGGTTTTGGCTGCTGTCCCAGCCTGTCTCAGTCCACTGCCACATCTTCTTTCCTGTCATTTAACAAGATACATCTGAACCTGCACAGAAACACTCAAATCTCAGCTTCTGTCTTGCACTGAACAGTTGCAGCTTCACATCAGTTTGTGTTTTTGGATGAATCACCATAGAAATCCTTCAAAGTCCAAAGTTGTGAATTTAACAAAACCCTCTAAAAATATTTGCCAAAATGTCCTTTGTGTCATGTTGTTACAGATATATTTTACATAGATTAATGTGTAAATAATGATTCATGTAGTAATTTTTTTTTTTTATTTCAACATGGAAAGTTGCATTCAAGGTAAATGTTATTTGATAATAATAATTCTATAATCATAATATTTTCTATAATCATAGAAGTATTATTATCATCATATACTTAATGACGATAATGTTGAGCCTATGTTAAACCAGGAATGTCCCTCTGATGGTGGAGTAGTGGTATATTCATAAAATGAAACAATTTTAATTGAAAGCATTATCAGAAAAGACGAATGAAGAAAAATACTGGGACAATTACAGAGGTCAAGAAAAAAATCAAATTTAGGCAAATGTGAAACTGAAACCCAATGAAATTCATTACTAAAGAAGATGAAACAATCATTCTTCTTTCAGAGCAGTTTTAAGGGGACCCTTGAAAATAGAAAAATAGAAAAACTCTCAAGGACAATGATATTTCTAAACATAATCCAAAGTATTAAAATATATAAATAATCTAATGTGTCATTGTTTTAATAAAAATTTTGCAACTTTCTCTGGACTAAATGTTTGTTTTTCAGGGTTTTTAGAAACTCTATTAGCATCTCTGAACATATGCACCTAGTACATGGTTATTTGATTAATCTGTTCAGTCTTCATCTGATAGTTACAGCTTTCCACTTCTCGTGAATAGAAAATTGCTTTTTAAGACATTCAGTTACAAATTGTAAACACAGCTAACTTTACAGAGACCATACATGTTTAAGAAAAGACTGTAAGAAGTGGCTTTTCAATTTTGAAAACAAAATGTGTGTGTGTATATATATATATATATATATATATATATATATATATATATATATATATATATATATATATATATATATATATATTACAGCCCTACACCTTAGAGGAAATAACTTTATCTTCTGTTTAAAAAAAGCACAATTCTGCAAACTTTTCTTTCTTGTCGTCTGTGTGTGTGTGTATAGATGTGTATGCGTGTGGGCGTGTGTGTGCGTATGTGCCCTTCATCATGCTGCGGCGTAGCGGCACTAGACCCAGCTACCACAGCAGCCCTCTTATCAGCCTTCTCACCAGACCCAGTCTCATCTCGTCATGCTATCACCCTGAGCAATGAGACAGGAGAGAAACTTAGACAAGCAGCCAGCTCCAAGCTTACTGTCCCTGAGTCCATCAAGTTGGTCTCGCTTCCTCCCTCCCCCCTCTGTGTCCATGGCTTGCTTTCGTGATCTTTCTCTCCCTCTTTCTGTTTCCCTCCAGTTCATTCCTGCCTTTATCCAGATTGGCCAGTACAAATGTGGCAGCTGGGTAGATGAGTGTGGAGGGATGGGGAGAGATTGGAAGACAGTCCTACTGTCACACAGTAATTGGAGCAAAAACTTGGCTTATGTCTTAATGTGTGCTCTGCCTCCTCTCTGTGTTTCTCCATGTCTCAGTGCTTCACTCTCCCAATAACTGCCTCAGCTTTTCTCTCTCAATCAACCCCTGGTGTTTCTACTTTTTCTCCTTATTTCTCTTTTTGTGCTGTCATGCAGTGTCTTTCAGAAGTCGACATACTGCTGTTGAAAAAGATTTTTTTTTTGTGATTTAGAAACATTACATCATGAATCATTTCAAAAATTCTTCCAAGTTCAATGTGACATGTATCCTAAATTATTCAACAGAAAAAAAAGAATCTCTGAAGAAAGCAACATTAAAAAGCTGTAATAACTGTTGCATAATACAAAGGTACCAGTCGGTAGAAGAATACAAACATATGTGATTCACAACACATATTGTTTGAAAGCAGTTGACAAATAGAAAGTAAATTATTTATTTTTTTAAGGAAACCAAGCAGATTGCATCAAGTTTCTGAATTGCAGCATTCACTCCTTCTGGCAGTTCCTCATTCTGAGGATAGATATAGTAACAATGGAAAAGAAAAGGAAAATCAACTTTTAAAGTAAGAAACCTCCAACAGAACCAGGGGTTTGTTGTTCTATATATTATTCAACTGGATTACACATAAACATAATTGGAATATTAATTTAAATTAAGGTTTAACATATAATCATAACATTTTTGTCTTAGTCATTTTGCAGATATATTTTTTCCCACCTGTGCTATTAGTCAGTCCATCTCTCACTGGGCATCTCCTGTTTATGCCTCTTTATAATCCTCCTGCTGTAAATCTCTCATCACCAGGGCCGGAAGGTTGCAACCTGTTTATTTATCACCTGCCCCAGGAGTTTGGAGATGCTGAGCTCATGCAAATGTTCCTTCCTTTCGGCAACGTCATCTCTGCCAAAGTCTTTGTGGACCGAGCCACCAATCAGAGCAAATGCTTTGGTGAGTCAAAAAGACACAATGACTGGATGAAAATAATAAACCAGGGTTGTTGTCTTTTTTTTTTCTTTTTTTTCATAAAATCACAGGGGTTTTGTCCTACTGAAAGGTCCCAGTGTCAAGGCTTTTATTCCAACTAACAGGTTTTCTCTCTGGATTGTTCTCTATTTAGTTCCATCCATCATGCCATATAGTCTGAGGAGGTTCCCTGTTGCTGCTGGAGAAAGACCATCCCTAAACTGACAGCCAAAGCCACGAAGGAAGGGTTTAAATCAGAGATGTGTAACAATGGCCTATGGCAATTCAAATGGCATTTTCAAAGAAAACTGGTGGCAAGACCGAATAAAATAAATGACAAAAGTCACTATCCATCGAGTTTGACAGAACTATTTTGTATGGAAGAACAGCCCACAATTTCAGCTGATTGAGACATGTGGTGGTGAAAGGAAATGGCTTTCAAATTATTATTGCAAGTAAAAGTCAGAAAAGTTTGCAGACATCTAGTTTCAACTCTCCGAAATCCACTAAAGTCAAACCTTTGTCTTGGTGCATAACACTAAACCTCAAAATGATACTGCAGTTAGTGATTTTAACATGATCGGATGCGGAAAGATTTGAGCTGTGGTGAAGCAATTTGTCAACTAAATTTTACTTTATGGAGCAAATATATGAGATTTGATTTTTTTTTTGTTTTGTTTTGTTTTTGTGTCCAATATTGTTGTTATGCAATTTCAAAGAAAAGCTCGACTGGAAGCATTCTTGAAGTTTTCAGAGACTCCCCGGCAGCCTCTAGCTGGGGGCCCCAGCAGCATCACATCCCCCTCCTCATCTTTTGTTCCCTCTCCCACTCACTAAACCAGTTCATCAGGGTGGAGGTGGCACAGGTGGGATCCATGGACTTAAAGAGATAATAATAGACTGGTGTGGAACTTGCTGTTGATTCAGTTGGACAGCAGCACCCAGGAGACAACCACAGGGAAAGAGAGTCTCCCATCATTGGCTTTCTATCAGTTTCTCTTCATTGTGGCATATCTGAAACGATCTCTCTCTTCTTTCTCATCTGTCCATCTCAGGACAGGCTCCCTCTCATCCACTGCATGTGTTCTCCGCTGAACATATGCCTCTCACTTACACTATCCGTCAGTCAGCAAGGAAAGGGGCAAACAAGAGCTGACCTCATCAGTCTCACAATAGAGAATAATTAAGATGTAAGCTGAAAAGACTCTTATTTCAACTGGAGTCTCCAATTCTCTCATTTATTTCTTTGAATAACAGATGCCCCAAGATGTTAATGAACCAAAAATGAAGATAATTCAATACACCAAAGGTGTAATTAACTTGGAGGACATTGTTTTAAAACTAGGTTTTAGAGTATAAAAAAATACATTAACACAACAATGTTTAGATGTGCTGCTCACAGCTTTATATGTGAAAATATAGAATGAGACAACATATTAAAGATCTGCAATGGAAAACTATCAGTGGTCATACATCTGTGAAGAAAGGCAGTAAATGTGCCTGATGTCTTTCCTAAATAAATATGACATCACTTTAAATTACCGTAAAGAAACAAAATGACCAAATACGGAATGATCACCACACCTTCATAGCAGTTGTAGGAAAATAATGATTTTTCCTAAAATTGCTTATCTTCTCACATGCTGAATTATTGCATTGAAATTTTTACTTGCAAAACCTAGTTTCTCTGAAGCAAATCATTTCAAGTTGGTGCAAGATACTAAAAGGTTTTTATGAAAATGACTGTTTAAATAAAACACTGAGCAATCTGAACATGATTTTACAAAGAAATTTAGTGAAAGTTTTTAGGCTCTCAATACACCAGTCTGTTTAGACATCTTTTTAGTTGAGTACATCCATCTTTTTTGAATACGAAGACTGAAATATGTGATGTTAGTGCTTATAATTTACTAGACATACATTTGGAAATAAGCCCGCTTGTGTGTCATTATTTTGTAAACCCTTTATTACATTGAAAATAGCTTAAACTCACTCGGATAGGATTGAGAGCACTTGTGAAATAAAATGTTCAAGTCTTGACACATAATTGTTACTTGATTTAGACCCTTCGTCAAGTGTGAATGTGCTTTAAACCTTCAAGTTGTACCTCCAGCAGCAAGACAGATTTCTCAAGTATCTGTCTTGCTGGAAGGTGATCTGCTCCCCAGTCTTGTTCCTCTAACATGGTTTCCACCAGAATTCCCCTGTTTTTAATGGAGTCCATTTTCCTAACATCTCTGACCAGCTTCCTGATCTCTGCTGAAGAAAAGTATCCCACACAATGCAAGATACTTTGATGTGCCAGTTTTCCTCCGCTCAAAAATAATTAAAAACTAAACATAAAAAAATAATCGGGGCACCCTATGACATTTAAGATTATTGAAAAATGTAAATAATATAAATAAACAACAACACTCCAAAATTATACATAGATTGTAAAGTTTTCTATGAAACAAAAAAAAATAAAAATAAAAGTAATTTGGGTCACGCCCACATTTAATGCCTCTTTAAACTGGAAAAACAAAGAAGAGGTTTGAAGACGCTTTGCTGCAGCAGATACTAGTAAGCTCACCATCATGGATTCTACATTTTATATTTCATTTACCCCTTACATTCCAAAGTTACGTTGAATTTCCATAAGAACTATTTTGATTTTGTTTGTGTTTGCAAAGATATTGCATGCTGTATCTTTGACAGGAAAAAAATATGAAAATGGACATATCAAGAGTGTAAAACTGCCACTGCGATGTGCACACACTTTAAAGTTTGCTTCCTGCCTTTTGACCTTCAGATTTCTATCATTATTTTGTCACAAGGATTTAAATGTAGTGTGCACATTCCTTAAATTCAGGGATTGCAGGACTGTGCGCGCGCCTACATAGTGTGTGTGTGTGTGTGTGTGTGGGGGGTGTGTGTGGTGTGTGTGTGTGTGTGTAGGACTGGGATCGCTACCAACTGACACGCCCTTTCCCTGCTCAGTTTGTTTAAAGGGTTTGTAAAGCAGCAGCCTTATCTCACCTACACTGACAAAAGCCTGCCCTCTCCCCCCAAATTAAATTGGACCCATAGCGGTGTGATCAAATCAGCTGGCAGGCGGAAAATTCTGGCCGTCAATCACAGAGGTGTCTGATAAGAGGAGGCAAGGAGTCCCAGCGGGGGCAGCTGTTGGTTCACTCTGCCTCAGCACCTAAATGATAACTGCGAGCAGCAGGCACCTCCGTCCTACACACCTTGCTCCGAGCGTCTCATCACAACCCCGTACCCTCTGCTCTTTACTTGGATAGATGCTCAGTCACACACATAAAATGAAGACGTATATTCACAGAGAGATGCTTTTCATGTAAGGCTCCAACAATCCGGTTATAGCTGGTGCACATCTAGTTTGAGACATTTTTGTTGGCTCTAATCTATTAAATCTATAGATGTATATTTTTTCACTTCTGGGTAACAAAAAACTCTTTTTCATTTGATTTATAATATATCTGCTATTAGCCTTTGAGTTTTTTTATGCAATCTTTTAAATTCAAAGACTTTCAATTAATCTCCTGAAAAGCGAAACAAAGACCTTTTGTTCTCTCATTGTTGAAAGTTCAAAAGGATTTTTTTTTTTTTTTTTTTTATCTAACCTGTCCTGTGTTTTTTGTTTCTTCTCCCCTTCCTTTCTGTGTTCTCAATCCCCATCCCTTGTTTCACCCTCTTTCTACTTTGTGGCCTTTTCTCAGGCTTTGTGAGTTTCGATAACCCATCCAGTGCTCAGGCCGCTATACAGGCTATGAATGGCTTCCAGATAGGCATGAAGAGGCTGAAGGTGCAGCTAAAGCGGCCAAAGGACGCCAACCGACCTTACTGACTCGTCTGCTGTCCATAAACAGGTGCAGTACCACTTATGGCATATCATACTATGGTACAATGACACTGTTTTTAAAAATTGTTGTGCTTTATTAATTTCTTGATTTACAAGAGTAGCTGTCTCAAATTATGATGGAAGCCATTCATTGTAAAGGATCTTTTATTTACATTTTTGAGGGTGCAATTGTTGTCTTAGTAACATTCAATTATAAGATTTACCATTTTAATCATCTACATCTCATTGCCTCCAATCACTTGTTTCAGTTCACATCAGATATGATATAGTTTGTTAAAACTTAACTATTTCATTGGGTCTAACTTTATCTCTGCACCGTTAAGACTCATGATATGACTGTTAAGGTAACAGTCATATCCAGAGGTTGCATGAACAGAATGTTTTCCGTATTTGACCGGTTATTTTTTTTAAACGACGGGAAAATTTAAAGCCCATAGGTCAATTGGCAGGTTATTATTAACACTCCTCACTGGTGCACATGGGCAGACATTAGAGACTTTACACAAAGAGTTGAAGAGGCAACTAAAATCAATCAATAAAAAAATCCCTTCTGAATATCTTCTCATGGACTCTGAACTACTGTATTTTCCGGCTCACTATAAGCCACACCCACAAAGGTTTTTTAAAAAACTGGAAACGTACATGTATAAGCCGCACCGGGCTATACGCCGCTGGTATCTCTGCCATTTTCGGTTTTCCACAGAGGGAGAGTGGGAGAAATTAATAGCAAATAAATCTGCTATTAAGGACGCAGCCCTCCATCTCCAACGCCGAACCATGGATTCTTTCACGCCGAGCTATCAATCTAGTCGATAGCCTTCAACTTAAAAGCTGCATATAAACTTCTTCGTGTGGTTTCCATGATGAGGGGATATAGGTTTTTAAACATTACTCTGTCGCACCTGCTGCTAGCCTGTGCTTGTTCTAAAGAAAAATTAGCGCTTTCTTCTTTGATTTCCAATTTTGACTTCCAATGATTCTTGTCAGGTTACTTTGTTTCACAAAAATGTGTTTTCTCTGTGGTTTATTAAATGAAATTTGTACCTGTATGGAGCTCTGGGGCAACATTGCTATGTTTTCTAACTTGAATGTTTGGCATAGCATTGGGAAGAGATCCAGAGTGTTTAGTTGTAGGTTGCAAATCCCAAATGGCAAAAATGTTTCGCCTAAAATAGCTCAGCATTACATTTGAGTCAACGTCTAGACAAAGTTAATGCTGTGTCTTCACTCATATTGACTTTTAGGTAGAAAATGCACCATAGCAAAGAGCAAATGATCATAATGAATTTGCTGATCAAAAGAAACTGACCAAAAGTGTAACTATTAATTAGGAGGGGCAAATTTTAATCTAACATTTAATATTTGCTTTTAACTATTACTAAGATCTACTAAGTTAACCTTCTGTATTGTTAACCAATTCTTAAACTGTACTTATGCAACCTTTGCAATTTTATCAAAAATAAATGTGCTAATAATGACCCACCCAGTCATTGTCTATACAGATCCTGGTGAGGACATGGGATGGGTGTGGGGCTTGTCCACGGTGACCACAGGAACCCCTGTGGTGATTGGAAGTGGGGTACTCCATGTTGCTAGCATTTTATTTTAATGTCTAAGAATACTTAGACAATAACATAAGTAAACAAAATTTAATAACTTAAATAATGTGTTAGTTTCTACTATTCTGTTCTATATTGACTTGAACTTTACAGAGACAAAAAGTAGTTTAAGATACTGACATTGGCAGGGACACCCTCCAATGTAAGTATTGCAGTAATATTTTATGAATCACATTATTCTTTTATTATTTTTTTATTTCCTTTGACTAGTTGTAGTTTTAATTTATACACATTTGTTGAATACCTCCCTAAATGTGTTCAAATATTTTGTGAACATATTTATGGTGCTCCTGTGAAGTGCAACAGCAACTAAGGAATCATACTAATCAGTTACCTTTCTGGGTGATCTTCTGGTTTATTTGCCACCATATATCTTGATTACTTCACATTTTGATCCCAAAACATATGAGCTTTCATATATACCAATATAGACATGGCTTGCTCTTAGCAACAGGATCCCTGAATAGACTAATTTCACAGTGTCACAACTGATTCAAATAATCATCGCCCATCTGTTTACAAACTACAGCTGCCAAGCGCAAAAATAATATAGATGCATGCTCTCAAATCCCAACTGGCAGGACTACTTTTCATTACAATAACATAAGCCTGGATTCAATCTCCCCATAAATGAATGCATGGTATTACCACTTGCTTGTTTTAGATGTGCCTCTTTAAAAGCCACAGGATGGCATATGCAGTACAAATGATAAATGCACCTTCTATCAGTTCCCTGACAGCATTTGAATGGAGCTATGGCCTGCTAATTGCAGAGAAGCTTTCAAAGCTGACACACAAAGAGGAAAAAAGATGGCAAAGTGAATTTGATTTATCACAGTCACAGAGACAAATGGTAAATATCCTACGACTCTGCCGGATGACAGAGCAGTCATTAGGATATACTTTAAAAGTCACAAAGTAAATCCATTACCCACATTAACATTCTGTCACTTAATCAGGAAGTGTGTTTATGCCTGTTGGTGTGTGTGTGAGCATTTCAAAGTCCTCCTTTGTCTTTCGTCCAGCTCAGTACTTTTCACTTTTTCTGAAGTTACCTGGACATTTATGTAGCTATAGTATAGAAAAATGGAAAAAAAAAAAAAAAAAAAAAACACAGCAAAACTGATAATAAGCTAAGACAAACACTGAGTCCATTTTTTATTTGTATTTATTTTTTTCAAATTTTAAGGTTTTTTAGTTTTTTAAAGAACAACAATACAGAACATCTCAATAAATTTGAAAATTATTGTCTAATGAAAAGACGAACAGAGATGTTGATTTCCTTTTTCTAAAAATATTGCACCTGTCCACACCGACAAAAACATCAATGCCTTACCCGATTACCTTCATATCTCTGTGCTTGCCTAGTCAGCAAACTTTTCTGCCCTTAATCATGTAGCTTCTCTACTGGATTTAAGTAAATAGGAAGAAAAGAGACACCAGATCCAACAATGTAGAGGAGCCAAAGGCTAGAAGAATCTAGAGAGATAGAGCCAAAGGTTGATAGATAGAGCCAACCTGGCAACCTCCAAACCAAACCACAATGATGCAGCAATTCATGCAAAATAAGCTCTAACCAAATATTAGGTTCAGTTACCTTGAAATACTTTAAAGTTGCTCTTTTTTTCTTTTGAAAACTTTTTTTTTATCAGTCTTACAAATATTTTACTTTCCTAAAAAACTTAATTTTGGGTTTTCATTAACTGCATGTCACATTCATCAAAGGTAACAAAAAAATACAAAGCTTAAAATATATCACACTGTGTAAAAGTGAATTGAGTTTCTCTTTTTCAATTTAATTATTTTAATTACTTTTTTAACATTCTGATTTGCAGAGATGCACATCCACAAATATGCACAATATTGAAAAAGAGCAGGAACTTTAATATTTTTTTATTCTGTTATTCCAAAATCTCAATTGCTGCAAATGCAAACTGCAAAATGCTTCTTTATAAATAAATAATAAAAAAAAACTTCACTATGTAGATAAGTACACAGGCTGCTGTTTTCTCTGACTCTGACAATGTTGCTTTGAAGTTGAATTAAAAACAAGATCAGACAGCATTCTTCTCTTCTGGTCTCAGGAGCCTCGCTACTCTAAAATTCCATTCTGTGTCTTAAAGATAAACTTAATGCAAAAAAGCAGTGAAGCACTCAGTGTACAGCCACCCTCACAGCAAACAATGCAAGGCAAATCCAATTACTGAAGACAGAACAAGTTTCTGAAATATGCATTTCTGCTGTTAGGGTTATCTTTGTGAATATAAACGTAAATTCAACCTTTTAACCTGCAAATGTTGTCAGTTTGAGAATGTTTTACCACTAGACAGAAGAACAAATAAAGACCTTTTTGATGTTCTGTGCAGAGCTGAATATCATCTGTTCTGTTGTACTGTTTTTTTTTTTCTAGTTTAACGATCATAATGAATATATTTGATTTGACAGGCAAAATAAGTGAAATTGTGGCACACAAACATACAGGGGGTTCTTTGAAATCTGACTCAACGAAAAGGAAATCCCACTGTTTTTCTTTTTTTTTTTTTTGTCACCCCCACCAACCTGGCAACCTGACATGGCCAATCACAGTGTGAGGTGGCCTTTCTCCGCTATAGCCACACACCCCACCAACACCTGTCATGGGGCCAAGTTCCCACAGCTGTAAGTTGAACCCATGGTGTCATTTTCTTCTGGATGACGTCATGTGGTGAGACTGTGACTGCGTTGCATGACGTGGCGTTGGTTGATATCTCTGAACTCTATCTCTTTATATTCTGCCCTTCTTTCATATATATATTATATATATACTTTATATTGTACATTGGCAGTTTGTGCGGTAGTTGATGAATTTATTGGCTGGTGCCTGTAAAATGATATGCTGACTGGTTGGTTTGGTGATTATAACTGGAAGTGGCCTTAAGCTCTTTGTGCCATTGTACCGTGTATCTTGTCCTCTTGTGAGGTTTGTGTGTATGGATGTACTGTACTTTTTTATTTTTCTATCTTTTTGCATTCATGTCCACAGTCTCCTTCTTTCACAAAACTCTAAATTTAATTTTGCAAAAAGGACCTTTTTCTTCATCTACGCCACAGCACTTTAGATGGGAAATATCCAGGGTCACCCTTCATTCGTGTGACCGATTGCATTTCTTTTGTGTTTCGGTGAATGTTGACACTCCACCTTTCTATGCATTCCCTCTACACAGGAAATTCCTCTGCAAAACCATTTTGTTTGTCTAACATAAAAATAATGTCATATTTATTTATTCATGAGGATGCAAAGCAAAAGAAATAAAAGAGATGAAGCAGACATGTAGAACCACATAAACAAAATCAGTCCCCTCAAGATACTCTAAATATTGACTGGTTAGCATGCCACTTGAACTTTCATGTTGTCACTTTTCAACCACAGATCTCAAGAAATGTTTCTGCTAATCTGCATCGTATACCAACACACTTATGAAGTGGAAATGAAATAGCAGATGGTTTTCAGTTGTTTTGTATTGCTGATAAAAAATCTGGAATTGTGACATATGTTTGTTCAGTCTCCCCATGAGAAAACTAAACTGCTGACATTATCAGATTTCTTCTGATAAGTGTCAGTGAACATCAATTTTCAAGTCTTGCCACAGACTCAGCTCAGTTCAAATCTGAACTTTGACTGAACCATTCCCAGCCCTTACTACACGTGTCCTTTGTGTGAATATGGTTTGATTGAGACCACTCCATTGTAGCTGTAGAGGCTTTACATGGTGATTGTTCGAATGTCAGGTGTACCTCTGCTCCTCTCTGGTCTTTTAGAACTACTAAAAGATTTCTTTGAGAATTGGCCTCTTTTGTCCTAACTGACCAGAGCATCTTCAAGCGCACAATGTTTTGGAAATGCAACATTTGAAGGCCGTGCATTGTTATAATTTGATCAGATCTTGATCAAATTATGATAATCAGTGATCAGACATGTAAAACAGAAATGTAGGAGGTAGAACTAAAAATGCATTAATCCCATTTTGATATCTAAGTCCTTCACATCCTGAATAAAACAAACCCAGCCACCTTAAATTTATTATTTTAATATTACAAACAACGCTAAAGATTAATGCTGATCTGACAATAAACTAAAATACACAAAGGGACGTACATAAAAAATAGGTAAAAATTAAATGCAAAGAAATGAATTGGAATTGCACAGTACAATCATGAACAGAAAGAAATTAAGTGAATGCAGCCAAACCTTGCAAACATTAATAACAAACTAAGAAAAGCAACACTAATCTAAACTGAAACACCAAGGATATGACACATTTCCTTGAGGATACAAATTATTACAGTTTCATGTGTATGAATTAAATTGCACTGTAGTTTTTAGTTTTTTGCATGTCAATTGATGAGTAAATTCTTATTTTCTGCTTTTCAAATGTCACACAAATTGATATGTAAAAACTAACAGCAAACAGATTCACAATGAAATAGGTCCTTTCTTTGCAAGTTGGTTTGTTGAAACACCCTTTCAGGCCATCCTGAAAGGAGTCATCAAATTTCCCTTGCCCTGTTTCAGAAGAACCGCAGGCGACTCACCCTCCTGTAGTTTTTCTATTCACTGAACTCAGTGGGAGGGAGGGGAGAGGGGTGCGCAAACAGTGAGAAATAAAGTTTTTCTGGCCTCAACTCTGATTCTGAAGTACGAGGAGTTTTTTATTGTGAATTCTAAGACATGTGGGTTTTAATATACCTTCTAAAGAAATAAAGAATTACTGTTTATGATCTAACACACCTGGTGTTTGAAATAACATTCAAGGAATCTCTTTTCATGTGGAAAAATAGATGCATTTTAAAAAAGGCTGTCTGTTTTATGCGTGCTACACGTAAAGGTAGAAATGCCCTTATAGCATACAAAAGAATGTATCTGTAATTGGGATTGTTAGTGCCATATGTCACTAATGGCTGGGCTGGCTTTGTTACTCGTAACAAATAATTTTGAATCTAGGCCGCGTGTCTGAAAAAGCAGATCTATTATGAAACTGTAACAAGCTCATTTACAGAAATGGAAAGGTAGAACAAAGAGAGCACCCAGGCGTGTGTTCCCGTCAGAAAGTCAGACCCTTTCATGTTCATTCCCAAAGAGTGATTTGCTGTGATTGTGCTTCCTTTCTTCAAACTGCATCATAGTTCACAACATAATAGCCCTGATGGGCAGTAAACATATTCTTTTATATCCAAAGCTTAACAGCTCCAACACTTTCAGTATCAGTCAGTATGATGTCAATCCAACACAGAGACAGAGAAGGGTTTCCAAATTAGAGGCCATTTGTTGACATGTTCACATTTCTTTTCTAACCATTGGTTTTCTGTCACTCTAATTAATGCAGTTTAACTCTCTTTAACACTTGTTTTCTTCTTTTTATCTCCCGTGTTCTTTCATAGTTTTTGTTTTGTTTGTATTGAATTAACAAAGAGATGAATGACAGCAATGTCTCAAGCAGCTTTCTTTTCCAAGCAGTAAAAACCCAGTCAGTTTAAATTAGGCCTTCCTTGGATTAGTGCTGTAACAGTGTAGATGTCTGTTCCATATGGTTTTAACACAGATCTCCCACCCCACCTCTAGCCCACTTATTTCTGGCTGTGATTGACACACTGTTTTTTTTTTTCTTCTTCTTCTTCTTTCCGTCTGTTCCTCTCACTGTTGGCTGTGCCTGTCAGTCTGTGTGATAACCAGGAGCCAACAACCTTGAGCATGTTTGCTACAGCCTTCCTGAATCCACTCACCTTATTCTTTCCTGTGTCTTTCTCTTTTCCTCTCTCTGTGTCACAGGATGAAGGGCCACAACACCTTATTTCCACAAGTGCAGTAAAAGTACAAAGACTCCTCGTTCTGCTACATATCATGAAGAAAGGGTGGTCCCTTGATCCTCCTGGAAAGCCGCTGAAAGATTGGGTGACTGAAAGAAGGATCCCAGAGTTGTTGTTTTTTATTACCATTTTAGTTTTTTCTTTCTTCGCAAATGCCTCTTTTTTCCCTTTTTTGCTTTGGCATCTGTGGAAGAAGATTTTTTGCAGAGACCAACTTTTTGCTGCTGTTTTTTAGACATGATGAAAAGAAAAAAAACTTTATAGACTCATTATGCTCAAAGCATGCATACTGACACAGGATACAGATAAACTCACTTAAAAAAATATTTAAAAAAATAAACCAAACATACAAGAAATTAAACAAGCTGCACTTAATGAATGAAAAACTTAAAAAAAGACTCTGTACATGTATAAATACGTGCAAATGCCAACACAAGAACTGAAGCAAATCCATGCGTGTGCACGCACACAGACACACATACACAGACGCACACAAATATACACAAACACACACACACCAGCCTGCTGCCATTTTGGTTTTTGTGCCTACACAGGTGTTGTGCTCTGTGACAGGGCAAGCTCTGCATCGAAGTGGAAAAACAAGAAGAAGACAAGGAGAGGAGTGGGGAAATCCAGGATAATTTACATGCATCATTCCTTAGGAAATAGGGACCAAAGGACTAAATGCTTTTTAAAAGATTATAAATATATAAATATATAAATATATATTTAAAAAACTCATACCTTGTAGCTGCAAGTATTTACTCATAGTGGAAAAAAAGAATCATTAAATCAATATCCAGTGGCTTACTGTAAGAACGAATAAAAAGAAAATGGAAATAATGTATTAAAAAAAGACATGGAGTCGTAGTATAGGGGCTGATCTTTTGCTCTGGACGCTGATTTTAGCAGCAGGTTGTAGAATAGTGATGTAGACTAGAAAAAAGTACATTTGCAAATTTTTGCTGTTGTTAAAAAAAATAATTTAATTTCCCATTAAAAGTTGGTAAAAGACGGAGTAACAAAAACATTTATCCATGCCTTTGGACGGCACATGTTCTTTCTTTTTTTTTTTTCTTAGATGTAAAGGTAACAGCCACTGGATATCCCACTCATCATGATGTATAAGGCACTGCACTCTCTGACAGCTAAAGAGACTGATCTAGCAGACTAAAAAGGAAAACAAGAGACAAAGAAGACTGAACTCCGTGATGTCTGTGCTGGACAGCGTGCAGATATTTAAGGCTTCTCACCGGCCTTTGTGTTCAAGCGACAATCCACTGTAAAGACCAAGTCAAATGGACATGGGGTGTCTTTTTTCCTTCCCTCTTTCTGTTCATGCCCCTTGACCTTTTGTATTGCATCATGAAGTGTATATTTTGAAGCCACACATGATTGAAATGAGATGGATAAAAAGCAGATGGATGACCATGAAGAGAACGGAGAGAAAGCATGAGAGGAGGAGTAGGGCAACAGCTACTGAAACTGCCAGCAGAATGAACTGTGTTTAGCAATGAACTAACCTTGTGGTTAAAATTTTTTTTACTTTAAACATATTCCCTGACCATTTTTTCCCTTTATTAAACATAGAACCTATGAGAAAAAGCAACTGCTTAAATAGATTAAATCCATGAAATGTAGGAACCACTCATCATCCTTGCTCAACTCATCCATAGCTTTTCAGAGTAAAGCACTCTAGTGTTGTCACTTTTTGATTTAGTCCTGTTGCCTTTTTAACTGTTTTAGAGCTGTACATGTGGACTCCTCTGTAAAGCCCAATCAATACATTTGAAGTCGGCGAAGAGCGCTGGTTGTTTTCAGTCACTATGAGCACTTCCTAATTTGCTCTGCAGAACACCAGCTCGAATCCTTAAACCAGCCCTTCTGAGCACCGACAGCTGGCATTAAGAGGCAGGGCAAGGCAAGAAGGAGTCGAGCAGGAAGAGAGGAAATCAGCGGCTTATCACATTTACATCCTTCTTAAGTGATGCTTCATGGTTGTTGCAGCACAATGTTGCTGACAAAATTAGAAATGGTAGTCAAGCCTTTGGCGGAAAATATTATGGATCTATGATGTATGCTTCCGAAGAACCCCTATTTATTTCCAAACAGATCATATTTCCTGCTTGGACTCTTCTTCTTGCGTTCTCTTCCCTCAAGATTTTGACACATCAACGTGGAGAGGTTAACCAACTGGAGAGGTGCCAGTTTATTCCATTTTTCTGATGCTCCACCTGTCATTTAAGTGGGCTGAAGGTCTTGATCCAAGCTTTGTCAATCACCTTGTCTTATTGTGACTTTTTTTAATGTTTGAACATGACACGCTCTTTCAAATTACAGCTGTTCATCACCCCACTGATTTTTTTTATTTCAACCTACTGAGCCACTGCCTGTTCTCACTACACTTCAATTATCTCTTGCACTATATTAAACATGCTTTTCACCATTCCCTAATCACACTGCAATCATAACCCTCTATACATTAGCAGCAATGAAGTGAAAAATCACAGGGATAATCACCTGGACCCAATGATGGCAGAGATGGTTCCCAACATGCACATGGGTGACAGAAGGAAGATTAGGGAGAATTATGTCTGTGCCTACTCCTTGGCAAGGCTGCTGACAGCTGACCTGGCATCACTAACACAGCCACATTTACCAGGAGAGTAAATGAGGAAATTGTGAAACAAAACAATCCATATTGGCTTTAAAATCGCAGAGCAGATTGGCAGTGCCAAAATCTAAAATAGTAGTGCAAAGTAAAGCAAAGCATTAGCTTTCCCTGCTCAACAACTGTTCCAAAAACAGTTGCTTATAAAATGGGTCAAAACCAACAATTTTGTGGGAAATGTCCAATCCTGCTCTAGTAGCAGCTGAGAGTCCTGTGTATCCGCAACAAAATTGCTTCTCAGCGGTTGGCAATAGAGGTCAACCAATTTTACAAAACAACTAGCTCAGACTTGTTTCTTTTCCCTCATTGTATTTCTGCTAAGAGACCTCCAAAGCACACTTTTGCTCAACTGTAACATAATATGCAGAAGCACAGTTCTTCAGAGAAGAATGATGTCCAACAAATTGTTTATTATTATTTTTAATGAAATTACTACATAAAATGTCTTCTTGTATTTTTTCCCTATGTAACCTTTGGTATAAATGCCAAAGAATGCATAAAGTGGGTTAGAAAAAGGCTGCATCCTCATAAAAGTTTGTATTCATTATCTGTTTGAAGCAGAAGCCGTCAGTTGGCAGAGTAATGTTCAATGAGCAATTGAATGTTCCATGCTTGTCTTGGCAATCCCTAAAATACTCTCAGTGACATAAATCTTGCATGCAAGCTCCACTGAACTTTTCCGTCTTAAATCAGATGCTGTAGTGTTTCCTCTCCTAATAGCAGGTTGAGTCCCCAGTGAGCCAAAATCCAGCCCAGCTTAGCCTCCTGCTGTCTAGCTTGGCTGATAGTGCAACGTTCATGTAGCATGTACCTGCTATGCCAGAGCTAAATTAGGAAATGTGAAACCAGCACTTGAACACTTTTAACAAGGGTGCTCCGATTACCTTTACACCCTGGGAAGGGTGCTGAAGTGTTGAGCATTGAAAGCGGAGACAGTGGCGTATGTGCACTAGAGCTACCAAAATGAGACAGAAAGTTTGTTTCTAGAGTTTTTCATTGCTTGTTGAAATTTTAAGTCTTCTTCTCTTTCAGTCTCTGAACTCTGAAAAGTGGCAACTACTAAGTTACCAAATTGTGATTTTGCATATTCCCTGAAAGTTAATATAGGTAAAGGTTAGCTGGGACTTTAGAACTAAATAAAAGTTTTCATACAACTTGAACTTTATCAAAATTGCTATGTTATGGCCACAAGCTTCAAAGTAGTTTGTTAGCATTTTTCACATACAATGCCTTGCAGTGCATTCATTATGAAGTGGATGTAAAAGCACACATGATTTTCAATATTGTTCTACAAACTTAAAAACTCTAAAGTGTGGAGTACAGATGTATTCAGCCCCCCTCTCCTCAAGTTAACACTTCATAGAATCACTGTCTGATGCAGTCACACTCAGAGGGTCATTTCTAACAGCTTAGGACATCTGGCAGACTGTCTTGCTGGAATGGGTCATTCTATCACATTAATATGCTTTGACCAATACCACTGCATTACAGCTCTACCTGAATGTTCAGGTTTGTTGTCCTTTGGGACGTTGAGTCTTTGCCTCAGTCTTTTCCAGCCCCTAACATGTTTTATTTTCTATCCCCTGCCCTTAGATCCATCTGTCATCATATGAACTCCATCAAACTCCCCTGTTTAGTGAAGTAAAGAATTCCCACAGCATGAGCCAGCCATCGTCATGTTCTATGATGGAGTCCATCGATTTCTTTTCTGATGAATTCTTTCAGGCTTGTCAATTTAGGAAGATGCTTTAGGAGATTTTCATTTCTGACTTACTCTTTCCATTTCGTAGATGACTTATCAAACAGTGCTTTGTGGAGTGTTGTTGTATGACTCAACCCAGCATCAGTCTTCTCCACAACTTTATTCCTGATCCGTTTGCTGCTGTTCCTTAGTCATCTTTATGGAGTTTTTTTTCTCCAACAAACCCCTGAGGTCTTAACAGAACAGTGTAATTAAATTACAAACAGCACACTAAAATTTAGAGAGATGATAAATTATGTGGTTTTTGAATGAATGTGGTTGTATCTTTATAATGGGGTTGAATGTATTTGCACAGCTCATATTTAAATTCACACACACACAAAATAAATAAATAAATCAAAAATAATTCAGATAAACTTTAGTGAATTTGTAGATGTTAGGTGAAAAAATGTAGAAACAATCAGGAGCGCCATAGTAATTTTGCATGTCACTGTGGTGTGTCATCATCTATGACATGAAATATTGCTTTAGCTCTAATTTGCTCTCTTAACAAGAACTGAAAAAAAGGTTTCCAAATTGATATGTTTTAGCAAGGAAATAAGAAAGATGCATGCATATTATTACTTACAAGGCTTGTTGTTTAGCGTTGCTTATATTCTTGGAGGAATAGAGTGGAATATGAATATCCAACCCACTGGGTGCATAACACTGAAATAGCGGCGATTGTCAAGGAAAGGAAGCAAAATGTAATTGACTGAAAGCAGAGAGATAATTAAAGGAACCTGTTGGACAGGATGGAAGAAATTAATGCCTCTCATTTAATGGCTGCATTGGGAAAGAGCTGTTCCATCGTCTCATTTTGGCACCTAAAAGGATTTTGCTCTGGAAATGGAATTTTGGACAGAAAAAGATGGTGGGTGGGAATAGTGGAAACAGGCACTGGGTGGTGTTGGTGCTGGTAGGGGGGATTGCTGCGTGCTAAACTGAAACTCCACAAAATCGCTCCCAGTGCTCAGGGCATCAGGCACAATGATGTCATGATTAGTGGAGAGGTTCAGAGCCTTGCCTTACCCCTGATCCTTAAAAGGTCAAGCAGACAAATAGGGAGACAGTGTGAGGCAGCAGAGGGGACTGATATATCAACAAATTCTCGGTTTGGACCTAAATGGTCATAATTTGATTCCAAGAGTAACAAAAACACATCTTAATATCCACCAGAATGCACAGAAATGTTGTGTGGCAACATTTAACAACACCAAGAAATAAAGGTCAAGACTTTTTTTCTGTATTTCTTAATGTAAATAGCCTTTGAAATACTAATAAGGGCAAGGCTCTATAGCAACTTGTGTTGAGAAGCTCAACTCTGTGGGACAATGATGTCACTATAAAATGTATCCACAGCAGTGCAGGGATTTAGGAGAGTTTAAGTCCTCTTAAGCCCCTTAGGTTTGGGCTGTGAGCATGCATCCTACAACCGTAAGCGTCGGACCAAGGCTTAGAAATGATTTGACTTAGTGTCAGACCTAAGCCATGGCTCCAAAGTGATCTGTTAATTAAGATTCCGTGTACACCGTCATGTCATGATTTTTCTGACAGAAGAAAGATTGCCAGTGCAGTAATTGGATTAGTCCAATTGGGGCTGATGAACAGATATGGCAGTGACAGTAGAGTTCATCCATCTGTATGAACGCTCCATGCTCGACAATTTAGAGGCAAAAAGGAGAAGAAAACATCAGCTACGTGTAGACTTTTAGAAATGAATCACAAGAAAACGTTAAGGCTTTTGCAGCAGTTACAGAGGCTTTTCCTCTCCAGGTACCAGTTTGTTTAGCATGTACATAAACCATTTTGGATTCAAGCATTTATTACACAAGGTTTGAAACTATACATAAATGGTTAGGCTGACACTGGAGGAAGGGACAAACAACAAAGCAATCCCAGCAGAACCCCTTATTGCTTGATCCAGTCTGCCACTGTTATCCTAACCAGACAGCTGCATTATACCTGTACATACAATATAGCTTATTTTTAAATTCTGTTTATCTTTCTTTATAGGTCGTACATTAGATCATGTTAAAACGTAAAAAAAATAAAAAAATAAAAGAATGGCTAATATATTTCAGTGAAACTGAGAAAAGGAACATATTGAATAATTTATCAAAAGCAGAAGATAAAATGTTTTTATTTCTTGTAAAGTGAAACACTGTTGTTTAAAAAGTGGGATTTTATACTCATATCAGTAAATGTTTCTTCATTTTTTTTTCACTCTGTTGTTTTATTAACCGCTGAAGCTGGGCAAACCCGTTGTCACAAGGTTTAATCGGATATCCTTTGATCGTTTTTCTTTATTTTTTGGGCCATACAATCCCTGTGTGAAATCCCCTGTGGATGGACGAGTTCAAAGAGATTTTTCTCTCAGAAAGCTATTAAATCAATACAAGAATTAGCAAACTGCACTGTAAAAGGATGATTGATGGACCTGGTCCGTGGATTCAGAAAAAAAGAGAGTTTATTGCACAACTGAGTCCTAATGGTTTAGGGTTGTTGGGAAAAAATAAGAAAAAAATGTTATTTGAGACCTTGTGGTGTTTCAAAGAAAGAAAATATAACCTCAAACAAAACAAAGAGAAAAGGGGAAAAAAGGCAAAAAATATCAAATTTTGCTATCCTATTGGTTTTGGGACCTATGCTGTCATATATTAATGTCTTTTAACCACTGTTGGTGTCCTGTAACATACCCTTTTTATGTCTTTATTATTTTCAGGGTTATTTGTCATCATTGACATATCTTTGAGTTTCATATTCTCTGCTCCTTCCTAAGGGATGTTTCAACCACAGCTTCTTACTTAATGTGACTCAATCCACTAAAGACACTGTGCCAACAGTAGATCATGTGACACCGCTTTGCTCCAGTCAAGTCGGTTTGTAAAAGTGAGTTGGGAATTCTGCCTTAAACCCAGCACTACCTGTGAAGAGTGGTCAGACACTTTATTCTGAGGATGCCAAAAGCTCTTTAAAGCAAACATTTAGCCAGATTCAGTTTTAGCCTCAAGCCCATTGTGACACAAATATGGATGTGGTTGTCCACCTCCATTTCCATTGGTTACAAGGACCAAAATGTAAACAAACTCAGCTATCTGAGCAGTTTGCTTCAATCAAGCATTCATTGAGAACCTTTAAAGTGTTCCATTATTATTTTTTGTATTATAAACCATTACATTCCCAGCTTCACTATGTAATTTCAGTTTTTATCAAATGTTCAAGATTTATTATCATTTTCTTAGGTATTTTAAAACAATCATGTTTTTGTTGTTTTTTTTTTATTTGAAAGATTTTGAGCGAATGTTTCTGCTTGTTTTGTTTCAAACAGAAATGTAATTTAAATACCGCTGGCTGGGGCCCGTTTCCCTGGTTCGGGATGATATCTCCCATAGTGATCCTGAACTCTGTAGTTCTCTAGTTATTATATTCTGCTTAGACTAAAATAAAGCACAGTCCTGTAGAAGACGAAAACTCTTTTGTCTCTGTTATTTATTCAAGGCACCCTGTTAAGAATGCATCTTTAAGGTATGGATTTATCATGTCTTGTGCAGAGGTATAAATGAGTATGTGTCCTAATGTTACATGGATTGCAGAGGGCATGTCATTGTATTAATTGAGCTAACAGCTCTAACCATATCCGAATACCAAATTAGATAAGACGGTTAGTAGAGAATAGTTTAAAAAGGGCGAATAATGCATAATAAATGGGAAGGAGATTGAAAGAGGGAGGGGAATAAATTGTGAATTGATTAAAGGGAAATGGATATTCAGCTCTCGTCCTCAGAAGATTTTACAGTAAAAACAATATCAAATTATATGAGTACTGCTCGTTATCATCTGTAACTAAGTAGGAGGAACACAGTTAAAGTTTTGCCTCTTACTTCTCCAATGGAAAACACTACACTAAAAAATGCCATATATAAGTGAGAAGAGCAATTTCTCAGTGTTTTCTGGTTTCCTCCCACACACCATGCACCTGTTAAGATAAGTTACCTCTCACTGATGATTCTGAAAAGGATAAAAGACAGTATTTTTTTCGCTTAGCAATAATTAAAATCTCATTCGAGGAGACAAATGCTAGCCTGAAACTAAATGGAAAAAGTACTTGCGCCTCAACCTAATGACTAGGTGTTGATGGCTACTCCCATGAAGTATTTTTTTTTCTTTTTTTTTAGCGTTTAGAGGTGGACTTGCTGCTATTCTTATTATCATCTTATTGCATAGTTAAAATGAACTTTAGATTCAAGTCAGATTGCAGGGATTTTTCTTCAAAGATTTTCTGGTAGAAAGTGTAATGCATAGTTCCATCAATTGAATATCAATTTGGTCCGGAAGCACCAAAACAGCTGCACACAATCATGCTACTGTCACTGTGTTTAAATGTCCTCTTAATTGCATTGTTCTGATTTTGGTTTAATATAATGGGTCACATATCTTACAGAATGTTTCACTTTTGTCTCATTATTCCATATATTTTACAAAACATAAACATGGCACTTTTTGATTCTCTTTCTTATTGTTAACTTGTAAACATTGGTAATTAAGGCCTTAAACGCTTTGTAAGTTGTTCTTGGTTCTTTTGTGACTTCATTTGTTACCATTCAAATTACTGCATTTTGGATTTACTCTGGTTATGTCTGCAGAACATTAACATTTGCTTATCCTTAACAATAAAGTTTGACAGAAAAAAAAACAATAATAGAAATCTACTTCTTCACTGCACTGACATTTTAGGTACAGAAAGGGAGTAAGAACTAAGCCTATACAGTGAACCCTTGCTATAACGCGGTTCACCTTTCACGGATTTGCATCTTGAATTGTATTCTGCATCCTGATTGGCTAGTCAGTCTCTCCGCTTCTTCTCTACCTATGTATCAATAGCATTGCAGTTTAATATGTACACATATGTAAAAAACAGCTTGCCAAATTTAAGTTTTCAAATACTTTTGCAATTTCAAGTTTCTCTAAAACCCATAATGTCCACAAAATGTTCTGCACTGACAAAGGCACTTGCGGTCGGGCCCAAAAGGCAGAGGAAGATACTAACAAAGGCAGAAAAGTTAAACTTCTGGACATGCTAAAGAAAAGTAGAAGGTATGCGGCTGTAGGTCGCTCAAGAATGGGACCCTTTGATGAGCAGTTCATTACAGATCTCAAACATAATCATAGGTGGCATGTCGGTTTATAAGAATCTTTTTGCCCTGAAGAAGCGACAACAACCACCTATAACTATGTTCTTCTCTTGAAAAAACACACCTGCACCGCAGGCTTCAGAAGAAGAAAATGCTACAGAGTGGAGTCAGGATGCAGCGGCTCAGTCAGAAGAGCAGTGAAATACACGTGAGTTGCTATTTGTCCTACTGTACTTTGTATTTTTTATAATCATTTTTCATTTTCTCCAGTTCTAATCCAATGATTCGGGTCGCGGTGGGGTGGTGCTGATCTCTGCAATTTGAAGCCTTCAGTTTGTATTGATGATTAAAATTACCATTTTACAGTACAGTAGTTATTTGTAAAAAAAAAAAAAAAAAAAAAAAGTTTGTACAGTAATTTGTTAAACAAATGCTTGGGTCTGTAAAAAGGCTTTGTTCTTTGGTTTCAATGTACTATGGAGTTTTTCATTGTATAATTGTAAAAAAATATATAAAGGAACTACTTCATGGATTTCACCTATCACAAGTTCTTTTTGGAATGTAACTCGGCGAAAAACGACGGTTCACTGTACACCAAAGGACATTGAGAAAAAATTCTTTTTTTTCAGCCCTGCTTTTAATCAATATTGTTTTCGCTTTGCACCACACAGGGGTGCACCCCCTTTACATTGGCTGGACAAAAGCAAAATAAAATTATTTTGTCAGAGGAAACTTGACTGAAGTTGCTTGTTTTTTAACATGTGCTTACTCCTTACATAGCTGCACCCTGAACGGTGTGTCATGACACTAACATCAGAAATCGCCATCGGGAGGAAAACTGTCATACTGTTTCCAGAATAGAGTGTAATACACTAGGAAACATCAATGTCCGAGCCATCCCAAGACACATATAATTTCTTGTTGATGAGTCTCTTTTGTATATGTACGTAGCACCGTTGTTGAGGAAACAGATTTATGGTTGCTAAATTTGCAGGTGATAAAAAGGTAATGAGTGGTCAGTTGGGGCACTAACTCTTACCCATTCACATGCTGACTTCTGAGCAGAGTCCTTGGAGACTGTCTCTCATTGTGCTGCAAGACAGTCCGTGATTCCACATGACAAACTGGATTGTTCCTGGAGCGAGTCCTGCTGAATTATTTTGGTCTTTTCGATTGCATCTCCTACTCCTGAGATTTTCCTCGACGGTTGCCTTTGAGCCATAAGCCTCGAAAGCAACCGTTGTCGATACTCAATCTGTTCTGTAACCCCTAAAGCTGATGAAATGTGCTAACAGGCGTTTGTTTGTTTGTCTCTGGTAGGGGGACCAGGGGAAAGAAAATGGAACAACAAGACTCTTTTGACAGTTCCATTTTTTGCGATGTTTTGGTGTAAGGGATAATCATGAAGTATGGATTGGATAGGGGAAAGTTATTACATTTTGTTGTCTTTATCCTTGTTTGAGCTGGATAAAAAAGGTCAGATTGTTCAAAACATGGTTCTTTGCCATTTTCAGGTTTATCCCCAATTGTCAGTGTAGAGTAAAAATGCTGTTGTTCACACGTCTCTGTCTTGTATGATTCAAAATCTTCCTGTAAATTGACAAATTTACAGGGAATTTGACAGAAAATTTCCTGTAATTTTCACTTTACTATACGTTGTATAGTAAAGTGGTGCTAGTGTGTGCTTTTTCGGTAATGTTGATTAACATTGAATTGATAAAGTTCTGTTACTTAAGGTGAAGTCAAGTAAAAATTCTCAGCATCAATACTTCTAACTTTTAGTGTCCATTTTTGACTTTAGTGACATGCTATTCAATCCCATTAATGCAAATTTTGTCTAAGAAATAAATAGAATAGAACATAGAGTAGAAACAACCTTTTATGTCTCTCAGCGAATACCTTTGAGTATACAAGCAAAGTGAAAGACATGGACACATGCAGATTCATGCAAAGCTGACATTATGAAATTAAATATGAATAGAAGACAGTACATTAAGGGCATATTTACAACATTTTAAAAATATGCACTGTCAATAAAATGAATGCAATTGTTTTTCTTTATTTAAATACAAAATGTGGATGTATATAAAAACAACACCAGAGTATATACAAGAACTTAAACTGTGCCAAAAACAGTATGAATGTGAACACTTAATGGGTTTGACATTGTTGGGAATGATAATGTTTATAAAGACTTACAGATGCTGGTAGACAGGACTGTCTCTTGCCTCTACCATCAGGATGAGGGGGCATCGTATGACAAAGCTAGTCTTTCTGATATTTATCTAATCACGTTCTCTCAGTGGTAGATGTATTGCTGCTTCAACAACCACCACAGAGTCAAAAAGTGTCTTCCAACCTCTCACTGAACTCAAACAGATCAGTATCCTTAGCACGTAGAGTATGCTCTGACCCTTTCTGTAAAGAGCATCTGTGTTGTGATTCCAGTCTAGTTTAATGTTCAGGTGAACACCCAGTACTTATAAAACAATGCTTTGATGTTCACCAGTTTCATTGTGGTGGATTTTCATCTGTGGAAATCCTCCACTAGGTCCTTTGTTTTCCTCATGTTGATCAGATGATAACTCCACAAGTCACCATCTGACCAACAAAGTCTTGTGTCCACTGTACTGACTCTACTGCACTTGTGATGAGACCGACTATAGCAGAGTCATCAAATAACTTTTGTAGATGTCAGCTTGGGGACTAGCTTGTTAGAGACAGAGCCCCTGTAATCTTGCAAACTATGACTGACCAAAATAGTTGCCAAGTTTCCACAAGAAAAGGTGGTGGTCCACTCGCTTTAGAACTGCATGATATTAAGAGTACTGAAGAAATCAAAGAACAAATCCTCACAGTGTTCGCAGTTTTTTTCAGGTGGATAAGAAATCGGTGCAAGAGGTAAATGATGGCATCATCCCGTTTGATGTGAAGACTGTACTATCCCAACTGTAATGGATCTAACAAAAACGGTTAAAGAAGGTTAGTGCTAACAGCTACTGAGATCATTCAGATGAATGGTCTTCTCCATTGGTACTACACAGGAAGTCTCCCATAGCTGTGGTATCATCTCTAGCTTCAGACTTGTTGAATATGTATCCTCAGATGCCACACAATTGATCTGTGGAGCACTTGAGGAGTCTAGAGCTGATGCCAACTGGACCTGCGACCTTTTGCACCTTGATCTTTTGCAGCTCATTTCTCACCTGAGGTGTTGAAAGAGACAAGATGGTGCAGAGGGAGGGCAGGCTGGAGTTCTCTAAAGCAGCGGGGGTGGGTGATGGCTGAGATCTGACAGGTGTGATGTTTGGGGAAGAAAAGCAGGCAGTCATCAAAGATAAG